CACCAAGCTGGCAGTTTCTTAAGACACTAAACCGGCACCTTCCGCCTGACCTAGCAATTGCACACTCGAGCGTTCATCCTGAAAAACAGAAGCGTATGTTCACACCAGAGCCTGTGTGGGAAAGCTCCATGCACCATTGCAAACAGCTGAGCACACCTCCAACATCCTTGACCTTCAGTGTCCTTGGTGGGGAGTGCTGCTGAGCAATGGAAAGAAACTAGCTGTGGCCCCAGAAACCTGGGTGGATCTCACGGGCGGGGTGCTGAGTGGGAAAAAGCCAGTCCCGAAAGACCATATACTGTATTGTCCCATCTGTAGGACATTCCCACAGTGACAGTGTCTAGAGAGGGCGGTGGGGGCTAGGGGTAGGAGGGGGTGGGCCGTGGAGGGGGCTACACAGGGGGTCCCTGGTGCTGGGCGAGGGGCAGTTCTGTGTGATGAGAGTGATGGTGGGGGTTCCAGGAACCTCTGCATCTGATGAAATTGCATCAGCCCCCCCCACACACACACCAGTGCAGGTACAACAAAACCCGAGTAAGTTCCCTGACCGACTCCACAGACTCCCGTCCCAGTCAGTGTCCTGGGTTTGACTATCATTCTGTCAGGTGTCACCGTGGAGGGAAGCTGGGTGAAGGGCACAAGGGACCTAACATTTTTGCAGCTTCCTCTACAGCTAAAATTATTTCAAAACAAAAATAACAAAAAAGAAATGTATAGAACAGCTGTAACCCATTGCTCTCTAAAATACAAATTGGAAAAGAAATAAGCCTAAAGCCTCACCCAGGGCTGTGAGGACAGCCTGTGCCCAGAGCCCTGGAAGCCCTTGTCACCCTGGACCCCCTGCCCTTGGTGGCTCTGAGAGCCACGCACGTTGACAGCTGTGTGGGGACGCAGGCTGGCTGGTCCTTTGAACACCGCAGCCTCCGGCTTGGATGTTCTTTCTCTGCCGTAGTGCACGGGAACCCCTTAGAAACACCTGCCTGGCCAGGCTTGAAGGGCCAGGAAGTCCAAGCGGTTGTCTCTTCTTCAGAGGCGGCCCGCAGGTGCCCAGCCATTTGTTTTTTTGACACTCAGAAGGCTGTGCTGGCCCCGGGCGGCTGCTCTGGGATGCAGGCCCTTTTGTCTGTGCAGAGCGGTGATGCTGAGCAGGGACATGATGCCGTAGGCAGGTCCCTGAGGGCCACTTCGTGCCCCAGGACTGGGGTCGCTGCTGATCAGAAACGCCTGCTTCCCTTCCCATCTCCCAGCAGCCCCCAGGCTGCTCCGATTCTCTGAATTCGACTCTCTACACAGCTCACATCTCTGGGTGGTGCGGGATGTGGGTTTGGGGGTGTGTGGTGGGGTTGTTTTTTTTCTTTTTTTTTCTTCTTTCCAAGGCTTTAGGGTGAGAGAGTCGGGTGGGTAGGGTGTTTGGGTTGGGGGGGTGGGTGTTTTTTTTTTTTTTGCTGTCCTGTTGTTTTTTGTTACATCTTCCTGTGACCGGCTTATTTCACTCCGCATAGTGTCCTGGAGGTTCATCCATGCTGTCCCACGTGGAAGAACGCCCTTCTCCTTAAAGGCGGAGCAGTATTCTGTTGTAGACCCAGGCCTGGCTTTCCTTGTCCATTCGCCGCCGCTGGGCCCTAGGCTCCTTCGTCCTTGGCTGTGGGAACCGTGCGGCCATGGCTAGGGCCACTCCTGACTCTCCAAGATGCTGGTTCCAGTCCTCGTGGGTAAGTGTCCAGGACCTGGACGGCGGCCTCATGGGTCCGTCCCACCTTTGTTTAGCTTCTGAGGAGCCCCCTCAGTGTTGTCCATGGTGACTCACCATTCTCTGTCCCAACCAGCGTCTGTCAGACACAGAACGTACAGGGAGAGCCCACCCGACGTCGGGCCCAGACCCAGGGCTCCGGAATGAGGGGAGATTTGGCCACGGACGTTCTGGGAAGTTTTGCGGGAAGTACGGACTGGGGCCTGGGTTCTCAGCCTGGACCCCAAGGCAGGTCTGATTTTTGGCAAAGCAGGAGAGCCGACCAAGTTTGCTCTCTAGTCCCTCTCCTCTGTCCCCCTATTGGGGGATGTGCCTTTCCCCACAAGGGCCCCCAGGCCTCCGTCCCACAGACCCTGGGGAACAAAGACCCGGGGCTGTCCCTCCAGGCACCAACACCTTCCCACCCACTTTGAACCCTGAGCTGCTGCGGCCAGCACACTTGTTTGATTCTATTGGCTTCCTGGGGTCATGGGAGGGTATTACTGACTCCAGAATAACACCCAAGGGAGAAATGCTCCTGGGGACGCTGGGATGACATGGGACACTCACGAACTCCTTGTGGCTTTCTTCATCCACTAACAGAAATGAAAGGCAACACTCACCCTCGGGCCCATGGCCCCTGCCTTCAAGGGCTTGGGGCCTCGCTGAGGAAAACAGAACCCAGTGAAGTTCAGCTGTCCCCCAGCTTTGCGTGGTGACACTGCAGACCCACCGCCTCTTGTTGGAGACTCTGAGCCCCATGGTGGGAAGCTGGACACGCTGGGGGCACCTGGAGCAAAGACCCCTTTGAAGAGGAGCAACTTTGACGAAGCCTGGTTTGCTCGGCTGCTGAAGCAGCGACTCCAATTCGCCGCACAGTTCACTTTTTTTTGTTGCCAAACCAAAGCAGCCCCATATTCTGGCGAGTTCGTGGTGAAGCCGCATTGAACAAACAAGGCCACGTTTGTGGCTCAGACGAGACAACGGCAGTGGCCCCTCAGTGAGACAATGGCATCCACCCGGACCCTTGTCATCTGGTCAGACACTCTGCAGCGGGGCACAGAGAAAGCGTCAAGACAATTGAACACAGTTTTTTCAATTATCTCGGATAAATACCTAGAAGGGTGGGGGCCAGGGGCCTGCAGGAACTTTCTGGGACGCTGACAAACTGTTTCCGAGAGGCCAGCAGCGCGGGCAGGTGGCAGGCACCCCACCCTCATCAGCACTTGGTGCACCAGGCGTTTACAAAGGCAGTGGTTCCTGTAGGCATGCAGGTGTCTCGTCGTGGTTACAAGGCGCATCTCCCAAGAATAATGACATTGGGCCATTGAGGGGGCATAGGAAGAGGTTCAAAGACAGCTAGGCAATAATGAAAACAAGAAATCAATGTTAACTCCACAAAAGAGAAAAACTTGAACAGGGGAGCTGTCGTCTCAGCTCACTACACAGGTCATCAAAGAACAAAATTTCTGTTGTCACCACAGGGCGAACTCTGGAGTTGGACACAGGCCTGAGCTGGAATGCAGTTATGCTGCGGAGGGGGAAGGAGGGTGTGGGGTGACCTTGGGGATCAGGGGGTCAGCAGATGAAGCCCAGGCAGGGTGTCTCCCAGCAGGACTGAGGCAGAGAGGTGGTAACTGACTCGGAGACCTCTACAGACAGCCGCCCCCTCGCGGCACCCCCTCTGCCCGTCCTGCGCAGGTGGATCCTGCTGGAGGAGTCTCGTTAGCGTGCACGTGTGTGTCCTGGGCCGGGCCTCAGGGTGGGAGCACCGGCAACTTGAAAGGCGGACTCGGGGCTCAGCGGCCATCCCCAGCTCTGCTCTGTGGAGGAACCTGGGTATTGGGAGTGCTGGACATCAGACTGCATAACGTCCCATCTCACATCCAAGTGCAGACTCCATCCGTCCCCTGGGTCCTGCAAGTGTCCCCGTGCCTGGGCAGAGGAGCTCTGTGAAGAAGCTGGCTGCCACCTCTCTCAAAGAGCTCGCTTGTGCGTCCCTTGCTTTCTGGCGGGAACCATTCCACTCTCCAGGTGGGGACAATGTGGAGTGACCCTTGGAGAGCTTCCTGCAGAGGTCCAGAGGGCCAGCGCCTGGGGGCGGAGGTGGGGGGGGAGGCACAAAAAGGCACTGTCTCCTTCCGCCTGCTTCCCCAGCCTGTCACTGTGGCGTGGACCACTCGCTCCTGCACCTGCCTCATTCCAGTTGTGTGGTGTGAGCCAGGGCACAGGGCAGAGCTCTCTAAAGATCAGCCACTGAGTCTGGTGGGGGGCACAGAATGCAATATACAGGTAATGTATAATGCACAGGCACGATCGTGTACATTGAAATATACAGTATCATAGAACTGTACACCTGAAACAATAAATTTAATTTAAAAAAAGAACAAAAAATGGAAAAAATAGAAATTAGCCACGAAGGAACTCCTTTTTGCCCAGGGGCTAGAATGTTCTTTTCCTTGGCAAGGTCTAGTCCGGCCGCCATGCTTCTCACTGTCAGGTCGCCTTGTTTATTTCTCTTTAAAATAACAGCCACCGCTCATGTGCAGAGGCTAACTAACTCCCTTGCTACGTGCCAGGTTCTGTACTCAGGGCTTTATATCCATTATTTCATTTCACCTCTGCAAAGACTCAGGGAGGTGGGAGCTTGTATTCTCCCCATCCCACCCAGGAAGTGTGCAAAGATCAGGAACGCTGCGTGACCGGCTCATCTGGTTTGCCAGCCTCCGAAGCCACTCTCCCAGCCTCCAGGATGTGTGGCCTTGCAGTGCTGCCCCTACCCGCCCGAGGGCACCCTTGCACACTGGGTTCTCTTCAGCTTTGCGAGGGAAGAAGTCTTACAAGGAAGCTGAACAGCCAGGGCCGTTTGCGGGGCGAGGCTGGGCGCTGTTCCTAGTTGTCACCAGCAGGTGGCACCACCTCCCCGGAGATTCCCGGGAGACTGGCCTCCGTTGCAGCCCGGCAGGTTCAGGCCATTCCGGTCCCCCTGGATTTATTTGTCTCACCTGCGCAGGGAAGGCCACCTTCTAGCACAAGCAGTGTCGTGGGAAGCGGGTGCAACTACGGGGACCCTTGTGTTCGTTCCGATGGCGCCCAGTATATGAACTACTACAACCTGTAGACAGTTTTAAATCCTGTCTCCCTCTTGCCCCCAACCCCGCCCCCTGGCGGCGAACGTCAAACCTAATCCTTCAAAGCCCGGTTTAGGGAGAAAATCTGTTGTTAAAACCCGGTTCCCTTCGCACAGCGGCGCCACAGGGCCGTGCCCTGCTCCCGCCCCGGGGGCCCTCGGGTGGTGTGGCTGGTGCGCGCTCAGGATTAGCTTCCAGTCCTGGCTCTTCCTCTGGTGCCCAGCCGGCCGGCCTCCGGACCCTCTGTGCCGGGCAGGGCCACGGGACCCCAGCGCCGTGGTGGCCTCGAGAAGGACCCTGTCGGGCCCCGCAGGGATGCGCGTTCACCCAGCCCGCTCTGCCGACCGCGGGGGCGCCCACCAGGACGCAACAGGACCTCCGGGTACGTGGAGCTGGCCCCGCTCTTCCGAGGCCTTCACCAGCTCCGCGGGGCCTTGTTTCCATCCACCTGTGGCCCTTCCGGCGGCCACCACTGTTCCCCAAGACGGCCCGAAGGCGTTGGGAATTGTCTCAGGGCGGAGTGTTCCGACAGCGTTTGGCTTACAGGGCGCTTGCACTGGCTGAGTCACACTGGCCCTACCTCGACCCACGCGGCCGCCCCCTCCCCCAGGCGGCCCGTCCAGAGCGCTCCCAGGGCGCGCAGGCCCCCCGGGGCACGGCGCTGCCCGCTCAGCCTCCGGGCAGGGACAGGGACAGGGACAGGGACAGGGCAGCCTGCTGCGTCAGACACTGTCCTGGCTGGAACTGCCATCACGGCCAAGAGGGAGCTCGTTGCTTTGTGCCCAGTGCCGGACTCCAAGCAGGCACACCCGGTCGGGCCCCAGGGCGCGCTCCCGACTCCCAGCAGCATTTAACTCTCCACGTGGGATGAGAGTAAACATCAGGCTTCTTAAGAGCCGAGCAAGGGCTGCGAGGGCTGCAGGCGGCCAGGGCCTGCGTGTCCAGGGTGTGCGCAGGCTGAGCTCTCCGCCCCTCCTTCCACGATTGCCGCCGGGCAGCGGGTGGGAACCCGGCTGCAGCCGGATTTCAGACGCTGCGCAGGTGAGTCAGCTCCCGCTGCAAATTCCTTATTTTTATGTTTTTGAGGTCTTAAGTAACAAAGCTGTTTTCTTTGCCAGAAAATTATAAAAGTAATGCTTAAAAGAATAATTCCTGGCTCTCTCTGTCCCCCGTCTGTCCTCCTCCTCCTCTTTTTGGTGATGTTTTCCTCATTTCTTCAGTAATTACCCTTGGATGAACATGTGGAAAGTTCTCAATGGGAATTTCATGGTACATGGTATTTTTTGCTATTCTTTATATACAAATGAAAGACTTTGTTGCCTTTTGTAGGCCAAGATGATGCTAACAAACCCCCATCTTTCCAAAAAGGAAAACTTTGGTGGGTTTGGGGAGCAAGTGGGTGTCCCTTTCCTGTGGCGTCAGATTGCCCAGGTGCTGAACTGAGCTGGCTTGTGACAGGCGCAGCTGCAAACAGGAGGCCGTGTGTCCTGCAGACAGGGACAGCTCGGGACACCTGTGAGCCCAAGCCTGGTCTGTCTCCTTCTTTGGTCCCTTGGAGCCGACCAGCCCCAGACGACGAGAACAGAAGTTGCTAGACTGTGAGGCTCCTGCTAGGATGGGGTGGGTGCCGGCCACTCGCCTGGCTGGCTGGGTGTCTTGTCCTCCAAGAGTGGCCAGTGTGCAAGCCCGGTGACCTTGGACGTGAAGGCCAGAGTTGTCCCACCTGTCATACGAGCAGGCCGGCCTCAACAATCCCTCAGGGCCCACCTGCTTTATTTGTTAAAGCAAGAACTAATTATTGAAAATATCTGACATATGCATGTCCAACGTATTAATACTACTCTGAACCGTGAGAAGTTGCCAATATCTGGCCATGTTCACCCACATAAACGGCAATTTCACCTGTTTTAACAGAACATAAACAAGGGCGGCGTTATAAACACCCACTGCGCACTTCTCAGACGGGGGATGAGCGTGTGTTCCAAACACGGTCAGCGCCTCTCCATGAAAGTTCTGGGTGTCAGAAACGTGCTAAATCTACTCGAATGTATTGGCATGTCCATCGATGGAACTGCTTTCGTGCGCTGTGGTTTGGGGTTATGGGCCAGGCAGCTGCCAACCACTCAGCCACGTCTTAGGCAACAGTGTTCAAAAAGGGAATTCACCTTGGACTTGACTTTCTCAGCTGGCCAGGGGTCAACCCTTAGGCCCTTTTCACTCCGTGATTGAGTCTTATCACAAAGAACCTCCCACTCGGCTCACAGTGGCCTTTGTCCCTGTTAGAAATGCTGAGCAAATAATGAGCAATGTCAGCTCCAACGGGAGACCGAGGCCACGCCCCTCTGGCAGCAAACCCCACCCACTCCGGCACGGAGGGCATTTTATTACAGAGATTCTTGGATGGGCTTTCGGGGTCCGGAGCCCCCTGAAACTGATCAGAGTGCTTCACATGTGCATTACATACACTTTTCAGGGGGAAAATTAAAATGAACTTTAAAAAAAGTGTTTCAAGGGATCTGCAAACCCTTCCCTTCCCTTCCCCTGCCAATAAGTTAAAAATCACTGTTCTAGTAGTTTCCAGTTGATTCCATAGCAGACGGGAGAGGAACGTTTGTTCGCTCACCAAACGCACAGTGACAGCCAAGGTCAGGGATGAGGATGGCAAACCTGGCACCCTACCGCTCAGGCTGCCCCGTGGTCAGGAGCCCAGTGACCACGGGCCCTCAACCTCGGTTTCCTGGTTCGTAGGCCGGAGGTCGGAATCCCCGTCACAGAGGGGCTTCCAGTGTCACAGAGCGAGCACGGTAAACGAGTCGGCGGACAGACAAGTTCACAGAAGCAGCTCTGAGAAGGGACTTCCAGCCCAGCCTCGGAGGCTGGGAGAAGCTCGGGGGCAGGATGTCCCCAGCCAGCGGCTCTGAGGTGACAGGTGAAAACTGCCATCTGTACCAGGTGTCAGGAGACACTCCGCCGCTTTGTCCTCTAGCAACCGCGTGTCTTCTTCTGCAGGCAGTTCGGGGAAGGTCACTGGGAAGACCAAGGCGACCTCCGGGGTCTGTCTTCTCTCCTGGGCCCCCCTCCCCCCAAAGCTCACTGGAAGTGCCCCATCCATTCCAGCCGTGGGAAGGGAGGCTTCCCCAACTCGCTGTCCTGGGGACCTCGTGCAGCGTCACAGCGGCCTCTGTCGTCTGAGGGCCCTGCAGGGACAGGCGACTGACCGCTGAGCACGCGCCAGCATGTGTCACAAGTCGCGGGAAGCAAATGGGTTGCTTTGGTGAGAACAGTCACAGGATTGTGGTGGCAGTGAGGGTGGCCTGTCCTCTTGTCCTTTCCTGTGACACTGGGACCCTGACGCCCATCCTCCCCTTGAAGGAACTCCTTCCTCCACTGATGGACCCCGGCAGGAGACCTTTGGGGGGGTCAGTGGGCCCTGATCCCTCAGGAATCGGCAAAGCCACCTGCTCTCTGGGGGACCAGACACAAGGCAGGGCCTCGAGTGGCCTGGTGCCTGTCGCTGTCACTTCAGAGACACGCTGTCCAATAAGCAAAAGTACCCGAATAATCCCAGCCTCCACGCCCCTCAGAAAGGACACACAGGGGACTGAATTCTCGCCTCTCTGTCCCTCCTGTCCCCGGTTGCTCAGTGTGGGTCCCCCACACCCGCTCTCACCCCCAGGGGGTCTTCTTACACCACCAGCAGCCCTGTGGTTTGTAAATGTAGCTCTCGGCCCTTTCCCGGTGGTCTCTGCCCTCAGGCCATCGTTCACACTGGCTCCCAAAAAAGGAAGGAATTCTGTCCAGTGGGTGCGGCAGGGGCTCTGCACATAGCCAAAGGGCGGCTTTCATCACTGGAGGAGGCCATGGGCAAGGGCTGGGACTGAGGGACAGAGGGCGAGGACATGCGAGGGGACGGCACCCTGCCCCGTCCTCAGGGGACAGGCCTGGCGTGGTGTGGGGCGGGGGTGGGGTCGTTAGAAGGTGAAACTGGAGTAAACTCCCCCCAGATGGGCAGATCTTGTGTCTTCGAGGGCGAAGGAGCCAGTGGAGGGGCCTTAAGTGGGACGAAAGGCCGCACTCTGTCACGGTGATGTGTGTTATTTTAGGGGGAAGGGGACGCCTCTGTCACACGGTTCAGGGAACGTGCTTGGCGCGTGCTGTGGGGCAAACGTGTCTGTTTGTCGGATTTCTTTTCAACCCACCTGGCTTTGTGGGGGGTGGGGAGAGATCTGAGAGCTCCGTGAATGATGGGACCTAGAACGTCCCAGCGAGGAATGTGTCATCTTGGTCACAGTGCTTCCCCGTGAGGGAGATGTTGGGAAGGCGTGTTTATGAAAGAAAGTCCTGGAAGTTGGCTTGAGCCCTTCCCGGGGTGGGGTGGGGTCTGGAGCACCCATTTCCTCGGGATGAAGGGACAGGTGCGCACCAGGAGAGGAGACGCTGCCTTCCCAGGGCCCAGGCAGCCCCCCAGTGTGGTCAGTCGTCGGGGCTTTTCCTGGCGGGAGGACCCGCAGGTCCACGGCTCCTTCCTGCCCACCCTCCAGTTCTCGTTCCACCTGCCTGGTCGTCTGTGCGCCTCGTCCAGCCCCATTCTCTGCGCTCCGGGTCGTGCTGTTCCCGCCTGTCACCACCGTGGGCACCCTGGGTCATTGTGGTTGGGCGTGTGCCGCCCACTGAGCATGTACACACAGTCCCCACATCCGTCCTCGCTGCCCGGCCAGTGCCCTCGAGATGGGGACCTGGCACATTCATCCCTTCGTCAGGCGTCCACTGTGGGCCTGCGGCAGGCCGGGCTCTGTGCCAGCCCCTCGAGAGACCCCAGGTGACGCGAGCCCTGCCCCTGGGAGAAGACGGGCAAGTGAGAAGGATGACACCACAGAGCAATGGTCACACGCACCAGCGATATCCGCACGCGACGACCGCAGACTGCAGAGTGCTTCGAGGAGAGATAAGAAGATGCTTGGAGAAAAGATGGGGGGGGGGGCTGAGAGTGGGGCCAGGTGACAGCCGGGACTGGGACTGGGACTGGGCGGCGAGGAGGTGGCAGGGGAAGAGCAGGGCCGGGAGGGCCGGCCTGAGGGAACAGAATGCGACCATGTCACGCAGCAGGAGACTGGTGGTGACGGAGGGGGGGGGGGCGTCGGAGGAAGGCTGTGAGGGCCGAGGGCCTGGGGAGGGGCCCAGGGACCCAGGAGGAGCTAGGGGTTTGCAGAACAACAGGAAGGTGCTCGGCTGCTTTTAACATCGGGGAACAATGTGGTGTCGTTTCCCTCTTTAAAAGGGCACCTGTGTGGCATCACGTGCTGCGGTGTCACCCGGTGTCACCCGTGAGAGATGCTGCCAGCCCGGCAAGGTCGGGGAGGGCGGTGAGGAGAGCAGGAGGGACACATGCGGCCGTGTCTCAGGTCGTCACCCTGTGTCTCACCCGAAACACTCCTTCCAGACCTGGGCGCACTCGGCCATCTCTCGGGCGAACTTGGGAACAGCCCTGCCTCGGCATGGAGTGTGACCCAAACCCCAAAAGCCGCCCTTGTCCCTTCCCAAGCTTCCACCCCACCGTTCCTGAAAACACAGAATGTGCGTGAGCCGTTGCTCTAGGCGGCAGGGGTTGGCCGAGCGCCCGCTACGAACAAGGCATCATGCTGACTTGTGAGGGTGCTGATCGCTTTGAAGACTAAGTCCTGCCAGGTTATCAGAGAAAATGTGAAACATGAGAAAGATGTAAAAAAGAAGAAAAAAATTCCTTAAGCATATCGCCCACTATTAACATTTTGAACTATTTATTTCCGGTCTTTTTTCCACTTCCACATGTCCATGTACATCTATTTACATCTATAATTTGGGATCGTACGATGTGTGCTTTTATGTCCTTCACTAAACTATGGTCAGATATCATGCATGCAAAAAATGCACACGAAAAGTTTAAAAAATAACAAACTAGGCACTCCGTCAATCACCAGCCAGGCTGAGAATACCCTTACTCTCCCTCTTGCATGCCTTAAAGTAGGCAGGTGTAGAAAGGACCCCCTTTTAAAAACAGGGTTCACCTGTCCTACTCTTTACTCTGTGCAGGACGGAAGCATGGCTGCCACGTCCAACCTGACGCAGGCGCTGGAAGACGCCTTCAGAAGGATCTTCATCACGTACATGGACAGCTGGCGTAGGAACGAGACCTTGGGGCAAGATATCATTAAAGCCAAGGTGGACGCGGAGAACTTCTACTACGTCATCTTGTACCTCATGGTGATGATCGGCATGTTCTCCTTCATCATTGTGGCCATCCTGGTGAGCACGGTCAAGTCCAAGCGGCAGGAGCACTCGGACGACCCCTACCACCAGTACATCGTGGACGACTGGCAGGCCAAGTACAAGAGCCAGATCCTGAGCCTGGAGGAGTCCAGGGCGGCCGTCCACGAGAACCTCAGTGTGGTGGAGTTCCCGATGTCCCCCTGACAGGCAGGGAAGCTGACCTCTGACACCCGGATGTGAAGACACGCCCGTGCCACGCCCAGACGGCCACCACTTGGTGGACGCTCTGCTGGGGCTTTTCCTATACGTCACATGGTTGGTCACCTAAGACAGGGACACCTCCACCCCAGGGACCGATGCTTGCTCTTCAGAGCAGGACTGGGGGCTGAAGACTTCTTTTCTGTGCCATGGGATTGTCATTTCAGTTGATGTTCAGTGGTGGAAATACAGCCCAACCGGAAGCAAAGTGCCAGGGCCATGTGGGGTGGGGGCGGGGGGGGGTGTGGAAGGCACCCAGGCGGTCGCTGTGTTTTTGTCAGACCGTTTCCTGTATAGACACGAGTCCGCAGTCCGCAGATCAGGTGACTTCAGCCACTTAAGAAGCAACATCTAGTGTCATCTCCTCGTCTCACCAGCCTAGACGCCAGCAGCATAGACGAAGTCAGATTTGTAAACAGCACGGTGACACAAGGTGACAAGGTTACCACACAGATCAACGCAAAGCGGGTGGAGTAGGGACAGAAGGGTGGGCCTAAGTTGGGTCTCAGTGGCCTCTCTCGGAGCAGCAACTCACGGATGCCTGGGGCCGGGGCTCCTGGAGCCTCGGGGCCCCTGGGTGACCCTTTTCCTCCCCCTTCTCCCCATCTGCTCAGCTCCAGGGTGAGGAGGCCCTCAAGTCTCCGCGCATGGACAAAATCTAAAAGAGGAGCCCTTCTTCAAGGCATGCTCCAGGGTTCAGGGGTTTAGAGCTGGACACCTGTCCCCTCCCGCGCCCCCCAAACCCCTGGGGCAAGACAAACAAAAACCAGCCTCAGCCAGAGTTGCCAGCCAAGTGAACCCACCTCGCAGTTTTGAAGCTGCTCCCCTCTCCGGCCCACGGTGCCGCCCTCTGGAGAGGGGGGACCGAGGTGGACTGTGCTGACGATCGCCCCTGCCGCAGACTCGGAGACCACGAGCCACCGCCCCCCTCCTGGTGCCCAGAGCTGATCAAATCCTCTACCCGGCCCTGCCCACACTCCCCTCCTCCCGAGGGGGTGCTGTCACTTTAATAACCTACCGTGCTCCACTGAGTCTGTCTCGCCCTTGAATACTTTCCTGCACGTTGACAAGAACCTGGACGCTGTCACTGGGGTGAGCACTCTGGCATCAACACCAGAAGCACTAGACTCAGTATCAGGAAAAGCCGTTCATATTCCAAGGGCAGATGTAGCCAGAGCGGCTTCCTTCCTCAGATCAGAACCCGGGGGATGCTGTGCACACAGAACATTCATCCCAGGGCGTCCAGAGCAGCGACTCAGGCTACAAAACCCGGGTCAGGACCCAGACGGGAGCGAGGTTTCCGGCAGGTGACGAACATGCTCTCCTTGGACAAACTCTGGCCAGGCTCCTCTGGGCCCTCTTGTCACAGTGAGAGACTTGAAGGAACACTAGCGGAGCACCTGGCTGCTCAAGGCTACGTCCCTAAGGGGGTCCCAGCCCCCTTAAAGTGTCTGCGGGAGAAAGGCAACCTGCCAGGGTGGTCCAGTTAACACCTGGCAATGGGCAGGTCGGTCTGCCCCTACTTCCCCTTTAGAGAAGCTTGCTCTAGAAAGCCTGTGATGATAAATCCTCTGTCTCCACCTTTGAGATGTAAATCTCTCACTGCCCAGAACTGTCTTGTTTCTTTGAAATGCCAGCATTGTTCAAGGAGGTGGCCTCTCCCCACTGGTGGGTCACCTGCCTCTGACTTGGCGTCACGGCCTTTCCTCATCAAGACAGAAGTGGCTCTTCCCTCTTATGTTCTCTCACCTGGGGACCCTGAGTTGCGGGCCAGGGTCCCCAGCTGGGAGAGCGTAAGAGGCAACCACACATTGATGCTTGTCTCCCTTTTTCACCCTCCCTTCTCCTCTCTCTAAAAATAAGTAAATAAATAAAATCTTTTTAAAAAGAGTGTTAAAAAAAGGAGCAGCTCTCCTCCAGATACCGCCTATGAACAAACCTCTCTCCCATGGACCCATTCCTTGCTTTTTGTAAGTTTCCACTTCCTTAATCCTGCTCAAGTGACCCCACTCCCAGTCTGCCTTCAAAACTCCGCCCAGTTGCCTCTGCCCCATCAAAGCTCAGTTTGATCCACGCTGGGCCCTCCTCCCTGTGGTAAGAGTTACGGAATAAAGTTTATCCTTATACCTTCACAAGTGTCCAGCTTCATTTATCTTTGATGCATGAAACAAAGTGAGGGGGCAGGGAATCTACTCTTTAAAAAATAAGTGCATGTTATCATCACGGAGAGTGTATGTTACCAACAGGGAATAGATGGCTGTCACCCGACTTTGGGGAAATGGGAGACGTGCGGAACCCCCACGAGAACGCTGGGGATCTGGTGGTAGAAACCGTCTGCCCTGCTTTGCCCCCCAGCCTCAACCCCCACCACGCCCAGGCCTGCCACTTTCAACCCGAAACTCAAAATGCCAGTTCACTCAATTTGCTTTTCTTTTCTACCTGGTATGCTCTTAGAGTTCCCTCTGCTTGATCTGCAGGCTCCAGAAGACCGTCGTCCCACTTACTTCTGAGAGGTCAGAAGCGGTTTGATAAGGAAGCTGGTTGCTCTGACAAAGCCGGATCCTTGCTGGCTTTAAATCCTGCACGATTGCCTTAATCTCCCTGTGTTCTGTCTGTGGAATGGTGGTAATTGTACAATGTTCTTTGTATGCTTGTTATTAGACTTCCATCATTAGACACGAGCTCAAAGTGCTTAGAACTGAGTGACTGAGCTACTTTCTCCATATCCTTTGTAGGGCACTCCTACCACTCACACTGCATCACCCTGCAAAGCCCTAGTGGGTCTGCAGTCCTACTGCCTGGTTTTCCATCGGTGTCAAACTCATGTTCATCAGGGGCCACATCAGCCTCCGGATTGCCTTCAAAGAGCCAAATGTAACTTTAAGACTGTATAAAATGTAACTGCTCCTTAACTAGGGGAAGGAGCTAGGCCCTGCACCCGGGTAGAAAGAAGGGTAGAAAGAAGGTGCCCGGCCGATAAAACAAGGTGGAGGGCGGGATTCTGCGCCTGGGCCTTGTGTTTACTGCCTGTCTCTCCGTGGGTGTGTCCCAGTCACTCTCCCCCTGCGTCACTGTCCAGCCACTGAAGGATGAGCTGAGCTCGGGCCTGCCCTCTGTCACCCGGGTGACCGGGGTGGGGGCCCGCTCTCGTGGGCCAGGACTGAGTGTGCTCCAGCTCTGCACGCCAGAATCTGAGAACCCAGCATGGGGGCCACCCAGCATAACACCCGCCTCCGTCCCAAAGGAAATTGAGGGCATTGCTGCTAAATTTGGGAACTTCCGGGGACTCCAGGGTCCTTCGTCGCCCACTGCAGCGAGGAGCACCCACGAAATGACGCACCAGTGGGGCGGAAGGGACCCCCGACACCCCGCCAGGCGGCCATCATCCTTAGGGTCAGCTAAGTTGTGAATGAGAACAGGCCGCAGACTACACGGTGGAACGGGGTGGAACTACTGCGCCGGCGCGCGTTGCACGGTGCCCGCCGAAAGACAGCCCGGGGCCAGTGCGCAGAGCGGTGCATTTCGGGACTTGTAGTTTTCCTGCCGTGCCGCGCGATTTCCTGCTTTGCCTTCCCACTGGGTACGCAGTTTCTGCGGCTTGGAGCTGTAAGTGGGTGACGTCTGAGTCAGCGGGTTCTGTCCCGAATCCCGAGGGCTCTGTGGGGTGCTGGGGTGTCCGGCGGCCGACCCTGCGTTCGCGCCTTCTCTAGAAGGCCCGCCAGTGGGCCCCCGGGCGCGCGGCGCCGGCTCCCTGGGTAGGGGACTGGAGGGTGACGGCAGCCAAGGCCCCCAGCCGGCTGCCTACCTGGCAGGGCCCTCCGGCGCCGCAAAGTCCGCGGACCAGGGCCGAGGGCGGAGTCTTTAGGCTGGCGCGCCGCCCGGGAAGTGCCCGTGGTAGGTGCTGGCCAGTGGCTGTTGGTATCGGAAGGGTTTGGGGGGCGGGAGAATGTTCTGGGCGCCCTGTTCCGTGGAAGGGTGGGGGAAGCAGTGGCCACCCTTGGTCCTCATCCTCGGATATGAGCGGAGCAGGTGTTGCTCCCCACATGTCGGGCATGAGAGGACCGTGGCCGGATTGTAGAGCATGCCAAGGTTGTTTCAGCCAAAACCTTGCGATAGGCCCTCTGAGACCCAGCCCCCTGGCGCTGAGAACCCGGCTGGCCCAGGGGTGGGGCTCCGAGGCCCACCAAGGGATCACCTGAACCCCCTCCTCCCCACACCCACTTCAGGTGATTGGGTGAAAGGTTGGGATGAAAAGGGTAGAGATGGGACTGAGAACAGAACAGCTTCGAAAAGCTCAGACTAAGGTCACAGCCTGATTAGTGCCTGGCAGGAGTTTGAAAAGCTCAGACTAAGGTCACAGCCTGATTAGTGCCTGTGAGGAGTTTAACCGAGAGGGAGAGACGCCCTTGAAATTGCTAAGTGCTCCAAGAAGGGGAAGTAGATGACCGGCCATAGGTGGTCCATGTTGCTTTATCAGTGAATAGCCCTTCTGTTTTTTGAGAAATCTGGCAAAGAAAAAAATCAGGATTTTTTTGCAGTAAAGGAAGTAGAACTATCTCTATCTAAGCCATTATTTTCTAGTACTAATCTAAGAGTGAATCGTTCCAGGAAAAGTTGAAAATTACCTGCCCTTAGATTGATTTTTATGTCTCAAAACTGCCCCCAGTTGTTGGCCTTGCGGTTTCCCCTCGGACACCAGCCGCGTCCCATTTCTCATTCCTCAGAAGGTGTGTGTGCAGCAGGGGGCAGACAGCCTGTTATTTTTAGCTCTCCTGGCTCTCATCTGTTGCAGTCCTGCAGGCAGCTACAGAGTGGCAGCTGGATGGAGCCTGTAATTGGAGGCAGTGGGGAGAGGGCGCCTCACTGATCCGCCCTCTGGTTCACACCTCACCAGGCCCATTCCACTGCCTGCAGGTTGATGTTCAATGTCTCTCTCCCAAGGAGCTTGAACTTGATCATGCCAGGGATGCAGCCCAGGTGGCTGCCCGTATGTTTTTGAGGTCTGACTCCAGGATGCCTGAGAGGATGGAGACTTCTGAACTCTAGAGCTGCAGACATGTTCTTTAGGGTCTGGTTTTAGAAATGAGAGCACCTGGGTGCACAGAGGTTTATGACTTGCCCCAGGTCACACGTCCTGCCCTAGGTGCCACCAAGACTCGGGTCCAGATGCCCATTCTCCTGGTCCTCTGGCTCCTTGTTCTTTGCCTGCTGTCCTCAGTGGCTGCGCTTTGCCCTGGATGCCACTTGTTATTTCTTCAGCTCTGCCATTGGCGGAAGGAAGGAGAAGCATTCATCGCAACAGCGAGGGTTGCTCTGTATTTAGTCCTTTCCACAGGCTGAGCGTGGTGCGTTGTGTGCACCGTCCAGTCTCGGAGGAGACGTCCAGGTGAGAGCGCGGAGGCGTAAGAGAGGCCAAGTGACTGGTCCTGTGTCACCCCACTCATCAACGTAGACCCTCCCTAAATCAGGGCATTTTGTTCGTGTTGTCTCGTATAACTTCGATGAGATGTTGTGTTAACTCTTACTTATACCATCGAGCCTCTTGTAAAGTTGGTTTCATTGTGTGTCGTTTGGCTTCAAGTCGCAGAACTGATAGACCTTGTTATGTGAGGACTAAGTATACGTATTTGCCAGAGGGCCAGACCCTTGGGCGTTCTTTTTGATTTATTTCCTCCTGTGAGTTTTTTGGACTTGTTTGTTGTCCTAGACCTTGGGAACCAATGTCTTACGTCAATTCCTTAGGTGTGTAGTGAGAACCAGCCAAACTCTCCTACTGTATTTGTACACAACTCGATTAAAGGGGTTGTGAAAATAAACTTTACACGACCGTAACCTTTTTATGTTAATAGACCCCACGACTAATCCCTGAGACTTAGAGGTTTGTGCAAAGTGGAAATTACAGTGACAGGTCATAACGTGTTAGGGGCGTGTTTCTGCAGCTCGAGTTGGACGCTGCTGCCACTCAGACGCCAGCAGGAAGGCGAGGAGCCCTCACGTGACACAGATTTGTGGCGTGAGTGCCTCCCGTTAGCTTGTTAGCTTATCTGACCTTGAGAAAGTCACGGGGAAAACTTGACCACCTTGTGCCAACTGCCAGCTTGTTTTCAAGATACCGTGACCTTGAATGGATAAGGTATGAACTTTTCCTGTTTAGATGCTTTTGTAAGCGAAAGTTATTATGAAACATTGTCCCTGAAGTTCATCTTGTGCGTGCCATTCTGAAGGCCTGTGCAGCTTCCTGCTGCTTTTCCCCGAGTTGTAAGTGCACTGGAAGCAAAGCTCTCTCGGCCGCTGGCATCAGGATGGGACTGCGGGGCCCTGGCCGAGTTGCCGGGGTCCCTGTGTCCGGTCTCTGTAGTGGAGGCTGGACCGTTCCCCAGGAGCTGGCATGAAGACTGAGGGAGTCAGTGCCTCGGCGGCTGTGTACTGCCCTGGTTGGGCACCCTGAACTGAGGCTCCGCTTACTGTGCTAGAGTCTCCAAGCTTCAGGAGGAGTGGGGGCCCTGAGCCCGCCTAGTTGACACCCCATGTCTTCATTCACAGATGGACTGAGGCCCCAAGAGGGGAGCCGCTTACCAGAGCGCATAGTTCTTCGTCCAGAGCTCCAGCCTCCTGAGTCTGGGGGTGCGTGTCATAGTCTAGAAACAGTGACAAGTGCGGCCTCAGAGTGAGTCCTGTGCTTTGGCTGTGTCCCTGCCTTGTCCCATCCTGCCTCACCGTCCTCGGGTGTCCCCCACTTTTAGAGGGAATTCTAGATCAGACGCAGAGCTCGTTGTCAGCTCATGTGCCCTCTCTCCACGGGAGACGGCTTCCAAGGGTGGGATGCTCCAGGAAGTCCGACTGACCTGCCTCCTCTCTCCCACAGACCACCGCGGCCTGACCGTCCGGCCCCTCCTCCCCATGCGTTCGTCCGCGGCCCTGCGTTGACCAGGAGCGACCGCACAGCTGGTCCGGCATGAACTGGAAGGTGACAGTAGACGTAGACATTGATGGCTCGGGCTTGTTCTTTCTCCCAACTGTAAAAGTTCAGAATAAGGAAAAGTAGACTCAAGAGGGAGTCATAACAATAGCTGATATTTTACCTTCAGTTAAAACATTCAAGTGGACACTTCCTGGCCAGACTTCTGAAGGGGGCTCGGCCTTCTCTTTGCAGATGCCCATGACGTCAGACCTGCCTTGCTTTTCTGGCAAAACCCACGCCTTTAAAGTCACTGCAGTTTCACATTTCGGTTTCTTTAAAGCAGATTGAGATCCTAGGAAACAGCCTCTACACCAGACCTTTCCAGGTTTTTACGCTCTTTTCCCTGATCTTCCGCGTGTGTGTTGCTCACAAGTGGCTTTTTTTCTCAATTCAAACTTGAAAATGCAGCGAGAGCATCCCCTTGGGTTTCATGGGACCACCTTCTTTACAGTCACACTTCCTGAGTGTCACATTTACATAAATTATCTACTGTCACATCGAGGACAACTTAACCCGGCTGGGGAGTGGACACAGCCATGCCCTGGAAAACGTTAGACTCGGCTGCTGGAAGCAGAAGTTCAAGGGCACGTACAGAGGAGCCTGCTGGCCGAGCACTGGTGGGGAAGGAGGGTCACATGTCTCGTTAGATCCCCAAAACAGGTCGGGGTGAGCTGGAGGGTAGGGACAGGACAGTCACTAGAATACGTATAATCGTGGACACTTTGAAACAGAAAATCAGGTAAAAATCAGGCACTGTCATACCATCCAGAGAGGTAGTGTGAATAATTTTGGTGTATTTTTTTACATATGTAAGTGTAATGTGTGTGTGTGTTCACACTTAGGATCATGTACGTGTGTTTCCAGTGTAAACGTTTCCTTGTTCGGGTCATCCCCTAGGTTTCTACTGCAAAGATCTGAAAGGCCCGGAGGCAGGGTCAGGGAGCTGGGGGAGCGAGGGCTCCGGAAGGGCCTGGTCCCAGTCGAGGCGGCAGAGGGGGCTGCGGGGAGGAGGGGAAAGTCTGGGAGTGTTCGTGCAGCACCGGGTCCCAGAGCTCCTGGTGGACCGGCCGTGGGGGGAGGGGCGGAGAGCGGTGGGCACCGAGTCCCGGGGAAGCTCTGCACCAGTGCGGTGCCTGAGCGGGTGAGAGAGCCGGTGCTGAAGGGTCAGAGGGTCGCCCGACGCCCTGAGGTCAGCAGTGGTTCTCACACCGAGAGAGGTCCCGCCCCCAGAGTTCCCGCCTGCTGGGTCCGGGGTCCCTGAGTCCCTTTGACCACCCAGGCAGGTCCTGCTTGTGCCAAAGGGGCTGCTCCCTGGGTCAGGAGCAGAACCTGCTGGAACCTGCCCACTGCGAGCAGACAGCACCTGGGGCACCTTGTGACTCAAAGGGGGCCGTCCCTTAGTGTCAGGGAGGAACGGCCTGTCCCCGGGCCCCAACCACTTGAGCCCAGGGCATCTGTGGCCTTTCTTCGGTGGCTCTGCGAGCCGTGGCTGTGGGCAGTGGCCTCGTCAGTAAGAGGCTCCGGTGTCGTCCAGTTCCCAGCAGTGGGTGTGCCTGGGCCCACCCGCAGTGAGTGACGCTGCACGTCCTGGAGGGGCTTGCGCGTTTTGAGAGTGGATAGGAGGGGTTTGTTAGAAGGCGATCAAAGGAGGAGATTGCCCCAGATGAAGTTTAGTGCCTGAGAGGCGGACACCTTCTTGGGGGCCTGTGGCGCCCTCAACCCCTGCTCCGCCCTCCGGGCCCTGGGCCACTGCTGCTCCAGAGCCTTTGGAAGGAGAGTAAACGCAGAAACGGCTCCCCGGCACTGCCGCCCTCCGAGTGTGTTTTCTGGCCCTGCTTGGGCCTGGGCCTGGGGGCGGCTTCGACCTCCCGGGGCCCGTGGGCCGTGCTGGGGGGTGGCCCCTGGGGCGGCGCAGGCTCGCCTGCAGAAGTTTCGAGAGTGGAGAGTGGTTTCTCTCATCACCGGTCGGTGCTCCGTGAGCCAGGAAGTCCAACGAAGGTAAAAGGAGGTTCGTGTGTGTGTGTCAGCAAACCGCTGTGGGGGGCACGGCCTCCAAGGAGGCACAAGAAGGGACCACTGAGCTGTTCCGTGGCTGGTTATACACCTGGAGTCCAGGGGAGAACCTTCCGGAATAGATGGATCGGGGTGACTTGGGGGAGACGCAGGGGGTCAACTGTAGGTCCGAGGGAGGGAAGACCTGGAAACCAAGTCCGTGTTCTGGGTGCTTCTATTTGGATAAAAAGCTCCATTTTGTCGATCCCTGAGTCTTGCACTCCCACTGGAGTGAGCTTTCGGAGTGTGTGTGCGTGTTGGTTCCTGACTGTGGGCGTGATTCCGTGGTTGTGAGCTGCTGCTCAGGTACTCAGCGGTGCGTGTGTTCTCGCCGTGTTAGTTGATTTAGGACAGCTTGAACACTCCGACCCCCTTTGATTTCCACGATGTCCGTCCTGTGTGTGACCGTAGTGTGGTGTCCAAGAGGGCAGGCTTCCGAGCAGTCAGGACACGGCTGGACCCCAGCCCTTGCAGACTGGACGTGTCCTCAGCCGTAGACGTGGGGACAGCCCCTCTGCCTCTGGGGACAGCGTGTGGATGAGAGGGAAGGAGCCCGATGGTGCCTGCTCAGCGCGTGGTGGGCTCTCTGTGGGTGTCGTCGTCTAAATGCAGAATTTACATCCAAGTCCTACAACATGTTGAGTGAAGCTGCAGGCTGCGTGTGTGCGTAGTTTGTGGTTTTATTCCATTTTGAGGAAGATCGGCAGCCGGTGGGCAGGAGACTGGTCTGGGGTTAGAATGTTCCTTTCCAGTCTGGCCCCGTCCTGCATCAGCTGTGTGACCGTGTGGCCTGCCTGCCACCCTGGCAGGTAAAAGACGGCGGCAGCCGAGTCCCCCTCCCTCAGAGTCCTTCCTGCCCCGGCTCTCCTGGTGCATTGCCCTCCCTGACGTCCTTCCTGAGTGGTTTCCGGTCGACCCGAGGGAGGCACGGCTGCAGGGGACCCTCGTCACATCGGGAGCGGAGACCACACTTGGTGTGCGGCAGTTTCACCCAGTGACGTCGTCAGAGCGAGGCAGCCCGATGGTGGCCCGCCAGGAGCTCGCTTTCTCACTTTGTCGGGGACGGGCTTTCCAGTCACAGCACACGCCCTGGATGTGGGTCACTTCCTATTCGTCCTGTTTGCGTAGCTAGTGCAGGGCCGGCCTGCGTACCGTTCTCGAGTCTCGTAGTCAGACCCACTGGTGGGTGCAGAGAGTGAGCTGCACGCCCGCGGTCACTCCCCAGACTCCACCGCAGCCAGCGCCTCACACGTCCCTCCCTGAGGAAGGGACGGGACGGCGAGTAGGTGTCTGGTGCAGGTTTCAGTTCTGTTGCGTTGTCTTTGCATTGGTTTGACCTCTGGGTGCCAGCGCAGCTGTGTGGCAGGAACCGAGAACAGGCTGTGGAGCGAGCAGTGAAGCGCAGGGTCCGGGAGGCAGGTCCGGCTCAGCCCCCCTTTGAAGGCAAGAGGCAGAGCCAGGACAGGCAGGTGGCACCGCAGGCTGTGCCCTCGGTCGGCTCCTCACTTGGTTGGTGGCGGAGCAGAGCCGTTTCCCGGGTCCCCTGGTCACAGTTCCTTCCACTGGACCGTGTCGCCGCCACCTGGAAGCGAGGGCCTGGGCGACCGGACAAGTGCGCGGTCAGGTTGTAGTAAACCAGGGTCATTAGGTTTGCCGTCCACTGGTGGGCCTTCTGGGAAGCCTGGAGCCAGGGGGACAGGAGGGCAGAGCTAAAACTAGACTGTCGGTGACGCGGGGACAGGGGCCTCGTCTGTTCTAGCCTAGCGCGGTGGGTACTCGGTGAGTGCTGAAGGACATTGGACGGCTTCTTTCTCTCTAAGGTTTTGGAACACCTGCCCCTGCTGCTGTACATCTTGGCAGCGAAAACACTGATTCTCTGCCTCGCATTTGCCGGAGCCAAGATGTACCAAAGGAAAAGGCTGGAAGCAAAACGGCAGCAACTGGAGGCTGAAAAGAAGAAGCAGACGGAGAAGAAAGATAACTAATGGGAAGCCGCAGGTACCAGACTTCCCAAGTGTGAGGCGCACAGGGCTCGGGGCAGTGGGTCAGCGCTTTCCACCCCTCAGGGCTGAGGCCATGTGTGCCCGCCCTGAGCCCAGCCCGCGGGGCTCTCCCTCACCCGAGGCAGGGGCACCTACAGTTGTACCTGACGCTGTAGGGCCGAGGGGACGTCCCTGTGGGAAACCCCCGCTGTGGCTGGGACCGGGAGACCCTGCCGCCTCTCTCTAGGGTGGAGCCTGACTTCTGGGTGTGGCATCGTCCCCGTCATGCTGCGCCCCTGCAGCAGACGTCTGCGCCCCTCGTGCAGTCTTTGCTCGTTGGTCCCCGTCGGTCCCCTGGCCAGAGGGTCCCTCCCAGGGACCTCCTGCCAGCGCCTGTCCCCGTGCACACCAGCCTTGCCCGTTCGTTGAGTTGGGCCCCAGGAGGTCGTCCTTCAGCCCCCGTCTCAGGTTGAACAGGTGACAGTGAGCTGGCCCCGTCCTCCTCTGACTGAGTTCAGGCCTGTGCTGCTGCAGGCATGGGGGGCTCAGCCCGGGGGGCAGGGACTCCCAGGTGGGGCTTCCCCAACGCTGCTGGGGGCGGAACGGCCTGTGTGGGGCTTGTTAAAGTGCCAGTTCCTGGCCCCCAGCCTGCCAGGGGTTCCGCTAGGATGGGCACTGGTTCTTTAGAAAACCCATCCCACTCTGAGCAGCAAGTGCCTGGGGGTCCATGAGTCAGTAGATACGGGGTCTCTGGTACTTTTTAGACTTGCTGAGGGGAGAAACACACTTACACTCGGACGGAGCCGTTAGCCCTCACACCCGTGGGGCAGCTCCTCCTGCTGAGGGTGCTGAGGAGGCCATCCAGGTGGAGGGATGGCCCCGCCGCCCGTGGTGCAGAGCGGAGCCAGAGGGAGCACTCGCCCAGCAGAGCCTGCTCTTGGGCAGGCGCTTGGTGTGGGCGGAGGGGGTGTGTCCCGGAGGGAGCCTGTCCCAGTGAGGGGCGCGGGGAGGCCGACCACAGGGAACGTCCGTCACTGAGCTAGTTTGCATGTGACACTGAAGAGGGGAAGGTGATGTCTGCCACCTGCATCGCTCCCTCCCACGGGGGCCTGGAGGCATAGGGGACGGCGGGGGTCAGTCCCCTCCGAGGCTGCCAGCTCACTGGAGCCTGGCTTTGAACAAACGGGACTTTTCAGTGGAAAGAAAATTGTGATGGTGGAAGCTCAGGAAAAAATAAAACCGTTTCTACAAGGAGAAAAGTTCACTGATTAGCAGATGAGCGTTGGTGGTCTCTGTGGGGTCCCGGCGGCGGGCGTCCGAGTCCCGTGCGCTGCTTCCTGGGCCGCTCCCCGCTCATGTCGGGTCTTCTTCCCCAGGCTCCGCAGGAGACCACCGGCGCCTGGACTCCAGCCGGGGAGAAGGAGACACGCTTAGTTGCCTAGTGATGTGTCAGAAGATAAACCTCTAGCCTTCGCTCTAACTTAAAATGACGTGAACTGTCACGTGCTTTTAAAAGAACCGTATTTTCTTTGGTAAAATAAAACGTCTTTGTAACACGTGTGTCTCTGCTCTTTGGAACAGGCCATGGTGGAGTGTGTGTGTGTGTGTGTGTGTGTGTCACACAGGTGTGCACACCCTGAGCTGTGAGAGCAGGGGTTCTGCACGCCCACACGCAGGGGACGGGCTGCAGAGGTGGGTGATGGCGTGAGATGAGGCTGCGGCTGCACCCACGCCCACCCCAGCCCTCGGCCCGCCACCCTCTGCCCTCTGCCCTCTGCCCTCCCCTCCCTCCTGCCCGCGTGGAGGCCCTTCTGCCTGTCTCTCCCGAGGAGGAGGAGGAGGTGGGGGGCAGGGCTGGCCCTCGGCCACGTGAACCATGGAGCGACTGAGGAGGGAGCCGAGTCGGGGACAGCGGAGCGAAGCAGGGCCTGGTTCTGACGACCTGGGTCTGGCGGTTAGCCCTGAGCTGCCACTTGAGGGGGGTACCTTCTACTTTATTTGAAGCTCTGTGGGGGGTCCTCACTCCTCACAGCCTGGCACCGTTTGTCAGATGAGCTTCATGCCCCCTGCCCTGCCTGTGTGCCAGGGGCTCCTCTGAACCGAGTGAGGTCAAGTCTAAACATGGTTTGTGTTCGTGAAAGGGTGAAATGAGGGAGAGTGGGCCTGGGTCGGCACCAGCTCCCGACTGGCCTGGCTTGGCTGCTTCGACCCCGTTGAGCCTGGACCGTCTCAGGCCCCACTGCCCCAGGCACCTGTGGGCACACGGGGGCGGCGCCTGCCACCCCTGGGGTCACCCTGGGAGGGAGTGGGGATGTGGTCGCTGGTGACATGAGGGCCAAAGAGTCTGGTCTCTCTTCAGCCAATCTGGGAAGGAAAGAGCCACTGAGGGCATGAGGCCTGTTCCAGGGGGCTCCTAGAACACTCCCCGAATGGAAAAGCCTGTGCTACAAGGGGCCCGCCCTCCAGAGGATAATTCTGGGTTTTTGGGGGGTGCCCCTTGTTCATGAAACAGGTCATGAAGACCACACAAACGCACCCCAACAGGACCTGTTCATCAGGGTCACTGCCGGTGGGCCATGCAGCTACGGTCAGCTGAATAATGGTCCGCAGAGATCCTAGTCTCTGGAACCTGTGACTGTGACCTTGTATAGACAGAATCTTGGCAGGTGTGATCAAGGATTTTGAGGTGATTCTGGGTTATTGGGGTGGGGTGGGTGGGGCTAAATGCAATCAGCAAGTGTCCTCACAGGAGAGAGGCGGAGGGGGATTTGACACAGGAGGAGACAGTGATGAGGCCAAGGAGCCAGAGGTGGGAGAGAGGCTGTCACCAGCCAAGGACTGTCACAGCCACCGGAAGTTGGCAGCCACCAGAAGCCGAGAGAGGGATTGGGGCCCTGCCAGCACCTCGACTTTGACTCGGTGCACCTGACTTTGGACTTCAGGCCCCCGGAGCTGGGATAGAGTAAGTTTCTGTTGTTGAGGCCGCCGGGAGTGTGGCCCTCCGTTCCAGGCGCCCCGGGAATCTGTCAGCGCTGCCGGCTGTCAGGTGGGATGGGCAGGAAAGCACCCGGTTCTCTCATCGAGGGTCTGGCTCTGCAGGTGCGCTCCTGCCCCAGGTAAAATGCACAACGAGGTGCTTTAGAAGTCCCCCAGGTAGTTGCTGAATAGCGCTGAACACGCATCTGCCCCGCACACGGCATTTCCTGATGTGGGGGCCTTCCACAGGCAGACAGGTCGGGGGGCAGGCAAAGAAGCCGAGGTCCCTGTGCTCGGTCGGCAGGGACCGGCCCCCCAATCTCGTGTGTGTGGAGATCTATCAGGGCTGGGGAGACGTTTTGGTAAGTCACGTTGGACACCCCGGTATGATGACTTCTGTGGTAAGATTGCTGCCCAAACATGTATAAATAAGAGCAAACTTTATGTTTAATTGGAAGCAGGGCTTTTTCTGTAAAAGTGAAAAATACCACCCCAATCCTCACAACCTGCATGGGCGGCCACCCCAAACTTGAACTGGGTGCTCTTGTCCCAGCTGCGGGGCCAGGCGCCAGAGCCCAGGATTCCAGTCCGGTTGGAGGTCTTGGAGTTGGCGAAGGAAACGGGCCGGGTAAGTGGGTTCTGCAGACCCCACCCATGCCACCTCTTCACCCACCTAGTGCCACTTGAATCAGTCACTGTCTGGACGGGGTGTCACCTCCTTGGGGGCCTCTGGCGCCCCCTCCGCTACCCTGCCCTCAGGCCGTGGGAAGAGAAGGGCCTATTCGGCCGCCGTCTGGGCCACGCCTGTGCCGGCTCCCTGCGGACGATTCTGGGGGGCTGACTCTGGTCAGCATGCTACTGAATGTTGGCTTTCGGGGGGGCCATACCCGTGATTCTCTTTTTGTCCAAGACCTGAGTTTGGACCCCACAATACGAGTTTCGCTCATCCTTGCTCACCACCAGGCCCCTGTGTGCTGGGCGCGCCTGAACCCCCCTCCCCCCCGTCACCCCCCTCGGTGTCACCTTAACAGCACGGAGGTTGAGACCCCGGCCGGTCCAAGAAGCTTTAATAGACTCAGCACCAGTGCCTGGAGGCCTGCCCGGGGGGTGGCTGTCGCGTCCTTGGCCAGGGGAGCCCGGGGGCGTCTGGTGGTGAAGACGGCGCCGTAGCGAGGCCCGCTCTGTGTCGGGGCCTCCCCCTTAAGAAACCTTCCCCAGGTAGTAGTTTTCCCATCTCCTCACTTTGCCCACCAGGGCCCTCCACTTGCTCGGGGTGATCCTGTCGATCCCTCTGCTGATCAGGTCGCCGAGCAGGATGTACTGGTAAGAGTAGATGCCGCCAATGGACTGCAGGCAGAACTCCCTCCTGCTGTTGATGATGAACCACTTCAGAGCGGACCAGGCCGAGTCCAGGGGGGTCAGGTAGGTGGAAGGGGGCGGCAGGGAGAGGAGCTCGTGGCCGCAGGACTTGGCCACCTCAGGACAGCACGCGATGCTCGCGAGGCGGATGACGGCCGGGACGCCCGCCCCGGCCTCGGGCTCTCTGTCTTCCTTCGGCCTGGTCGCGTCCTGCCGCCTTCTCTCCTTGACCACGATGGCGCACTTCCCGTAGGCCCTCCTCACCACCTCGCAGAACTCCGGGAACAGGCCGTCGTCCCGCCGGACACAGAGCTCGTCCCGCAGGAACAGCCGGTGGCGCCACGGCACCCAGCCCTGGCCGCCGCCCGCGTGCACGATGCACCAGGTGGGGCCCGGCGGGACGTGCCCGTGGCCGGGCTCTTCCCCGGTGACCAGACTTTCAGAGATCTCCGTCTCCCCCAGGTACACGGTCGTGAACCCGTCGTACTGCAGTGCTCGCAGGGTCTTCAGATACTGCAAGCACTGCTTCCTCTTGTGGCTGTCGAAGGGACTTCTGGTGATGACGTTGCGCAGGAGCCAGTTGGCGAGGTGAGGCATGGTGGTCCGCGGGCGGGTTGGAGAGCCCCCCCCCCCCCCCCCCGCTCCCCAGGTAGAGTTCCAGCCAGAGCGGCGACGTCACAGAGGCCTTTCTGACAGCTGGGCCCACCCCGCAGACACACCTGGGGCTGGGAAGCATCTCGGGACAGGTATCGGAATGATCGCCCTCAAGCGTCTATGATGTCACAGGTGTGAATGAGCAGTGTCACCCGTGTGAACTGTCTCTGACGGTGCTCCTGCCAGCGGCCCGGGACCGAAATGGGCAGCTATGCTGGGGCTGCTGTAACAGAGTCTCAGAGCCTGCCTCACTGAAACAACGAGTTCATCATCTCCCAGCTCTGCAGGCTGGGAGTCCAAGGTCACGGTGTGGGCTGGGCTGGTTTCTCCCAAGTCCTCTCTCCTTGGCTTGCAGTTGGCACCCTGTCCCTGTGGGCCTTCACAGTCTTCCCTGTTGTCCTCTATGAAGGCACTGCCAGGGCCTGGAGGTGACTGGGGTGGAGTCCGGGGGCCTAAGAGCGACACACAGAGAGGACTCAGGGCCCAGCCAGCAGCCACCTCCGCAGAGACGCCATCTGCACCCCAACATCACAGTCCGCAGGGAGGCCCAACCGGCACAGAGGTGGGACCCGAAGGTGGCAGGGCCAGGACCGAAAAAACCGTCACTCCAGATGCCCACCCCCTGGATGCGGGGGGCAGCCAGATGCCCAGAGACCTCCCTGCCCACCCCCTGGATGCGGCCCCTTGAGGCTTTCTTTCTCTGGATGCAGGGCCCACAGGGGCTTGGAAGGTCCGGGAGACCAGGAGGATTCCCCAGTCGCCTGCCACCTGTGGGGTTTCAGTGAGGGCAGGAGGGACAGGTCTCCGTGACTCACAAGGCAACACCTTGACTCCTTCCCAGGGCAGCGCCTGGAAGTTGCCCCCACTGGCCCCCTTCCCAAGGACAACCTTCTTCCTCAGACCACCTGCTTCCTAGAAAACACTCCTGGGCTTCTTTCCTCTCACTGCCAGGTGGCTGATGTTCCACAGCAACACACTGGCTGCTTGAAGTCACTCGGAGACGGAAAGGGAAGCAATGCCAACGTGGGAAGTGCTGCACCTGCTCGCTCCCCACAAGAAAAGGAATGTTCGTGGACTGGCTGCAGCCCCACACCCCCAACAAAACCAGGACAGCCGCCGCCTATCAACGGCTGTGCTGGTTGGGCCTCATTCCACAAACCCAGTGGTGCGGGGACATCACGCCCGTCTGTCTGAGTGAGTCACGCCCTCCAGCCTCGGCCTCGCCGGGGCTCCTCGCCTGCCCCCCAGGCCGGAGCAGTGTCTGAGCCCCGAGCCCACCCTTCTGCTCCGGGCGTCACAGGCTCCAGGTCCAGTCCTGGAGGCCCCTGACCCCTGGAGTCCTGCTGGCTCTGAGACTGTCCGGGCCAGGATCTGGCCCCTAACAAACCCTAAATGCGACTGAGTATAAAACTTGAACCTCGTGGGCCTGACCCAGAGGGACAGGGCGTCAGGGGCTCTGCAGACGGTCTCCCGTCATGTGAGGGAGTTCGGCCGTCGCTGAGAGAGGCGCTGCCGTGGACGGGCTCCTTCCTGTTTCACGGAAGCGTCAGCAGCACCAGCGTCCACCTCCCCAACACCACCGCCCTCCGACCACCAACCACCAGCAGGCTTATTGTATGTATTTATTTTTCCTTTCAAAATGCACCCATAGGTGTGATCTCATCAGCTCATCTCTGCTCTGTAAGAGTCACAGAACTGGCATTATTGTCCTTGTGTTAACTGTATGGAAACTAAGAGTCACACCTAAGTGGTAGGTTCCAAAACTCAGACCACAGTTTGGTTCTTCTGACTCCAAAACCAAGGCTTTTCTCCAGTGGATCCCACCCTTTAAAAAGCAAGAACTGACTGCTGATAGTAATGACTGTGGTTCCCCTCCAGCGAGTGGATGGCCCTGTGGGACCCTGCATCCCAGTCCTCGCGTGTCCCAGGCGAGCCGATAGCCACTCAAAGTTCACGTAACCCCATGAAGTTGAAATTCCCTCCAGGGCACCGGGCTCCCAGTCCAGCCTTCTTTCCGTGATGAGAAGCCACCTTTCATGGATACCCCAGGAGTCTCCCAGATGCCTCTGAGAACGGTGCCCTCCCCCAGAACACAAGCTTTTCCAGGGCAGGGAGAATCTGGCTGGAAGCTACTGCCTGCTGTCTCGTCCCAAAGCACGAGGAAACCCAGAGGGACAGGGATGCTGGTTTCGCTCACACACCACCTGCCGGAAGTGCCCAGGGCTCAGTGGTGATCTTCCGGCCCCACTCAGGGGCTTGACCCCTGTCTCGAGGTTCCAGGTGAGCCCAAAGCTGCTCTCCACGGACCCTGCGGGACGGCTGGGCCTGCTGTATGGGGACCTGCTTGCCTCGCCTGTTAAGGGATCCCCTGGATGTCGGTTTGGGTCCCGCTGGTCTCATGCCTGGGCTCCGGGCTGGCCTGGCTGGGCGGCAGGGTGGCTCTGTTGACAACGGTCAGCGCAGGGCACTTGACTGCCTTGCTCGGGGGCCCTTCTTTTTGAGTTCAGAGGTCAAATTGGAGAAATAAATGTCTTCCAAGGATTTGTCGTTCTTTCTGAGGATGTTGCTGGCCATCTGGAAGAGGAAGACCACGGCATAGATGCCGATGATGATGAGGATGTACCAGGCAGCACCGGTCCCGTCCGGGAGCCTCAGAGCCCTGGTGGAGTTGGTGCGGTTCCTGCCCTCCAGCTGGTCCCTCAGCAGATGCCCCAGGGCAGGGCCGGCCTGGGTCTGGTTGGGGGCTCTCAGAGGAGTGCACTTGACCCCTGAGGAACAGAAAGACCCAGGTGAGACCCAGCATCCCGGACTGGGGGCTGCCTGGCCAGGCCAGTGCCGGTGAGGTGGCAAAGGCAGAGGGCTGGGAGAGTCCTTCTGCGGGGCGGGAGCCCGGCACCTATGTGCTGATAAGCTTTTAAGAATCAAAGGGTTCAAAATGCTGTGTTTCGGACTAGGAGGCAAAGTGTCAGAAAGTTGTCAACTGTCACTGAAACAATCTGCACGACCGGCTGCAGTAAAAATGTCAGAATTTCTCTGGGAACTAGGCGAACTGTGCGTACTGAAAAACTAACCACCAAGACCAATCGGAAGGAATGTGAGAAAACAGGATGATGGGTGGAAATTAGCCAGGAATGTAAAACTAGCCGGTCAGGGGACTGATTCACACTTTGTGGGGGAAGGACCATCTCCCCTGCCCGCAGCCCAGCTGTGGCTTCCTGGGCTTCGCAGCAGGTGTGCAGGGTGTTAAAGAATGAGGCAGAAGTAAGAGAAAGATGAATTTTTCAGTGAACTTTGGAGCAACACAGCACCGGGTCCCCATCCCTCACCTTATGTCCAGAAGTAGTGCCGAGAAACCAAAGATTTTAACAAAAACAAAAGAAACAATGTAAAGTACTAGAAAAAAAGCGTGGTAGGTTTTTCCCTTTAACATCGCGGAGTAGGAAACCCCTCTCTAAGCACAAAAAAACGCAAAAATTCAGAGGGGGAGAAAAGAAGAAAAATGAAAATAAATGTTAAATTCAACTACATAGAAACTTTAAAGTTATCACATGCTATAAAACCAAGAGTAAGTGACAAATGAGAAAAATTACAATTCAGACCACTGAATTTCTCTTGATAACTTTCAGTTCTAGAAGACAAAGACCAAAGACTGGTAGAAAAAATTTGCTAAGGATATGTGCAATTAAGTTATAGAAAAAGAAATGGATCTTGAACGTGATAAAAGCCTCGTAATAAGAAAAATGCACAGCAAGACCACAACGAGATACCATTCTGATAGCTGCCAGGTGTGCAGATTCACAGTGTTTCAGACACACCGTGTGGCCGCGTCGACAGGGCGGGTCAGCCTGCGCTTCACGGCTGTTGAGGGTGTGAACTCACACCACCAGTCCAGAGGGCGCTGTGGCATCGCACGCACACTCGCCTTCCACCAGCTGTTCTCCCTGTAGGACCCCCCCCCCCGCACACACAGGGGCAGCGGAACAGGCCTGGGACCATGCGTAGCTGTGAGTCACTGCGGCATGACGGCTAGTACTCAAGGGCAGCCTGAACAGCATCGATGTCCGGGGTGGCGAATACGGTTCGGAAACTCCATGCAGCAGTACTGTGCAGCCATAAACATCCATGAAGGGTTTTGGGGGCACTAAATATGAATAAAAAGCGACCCAACTGCGATTAAATGTGAGGGTCAGATATGTAACTAAAGGTGGCACCGTGTTTGCTCGAAGCTGGTACTTGCGGAGATGAAATACCTCCGGGAGAACGCACAGGAAACCGGTGCCCGCCCTTGCCCTTGGGGAAGAGGAGGGGGAGGCGCTGTGCTAGTCCATTCAGCACAGCTTGTGCCTTGCGCACTGATTTTCAGAAGGAAAGCCATTCAGACGCGAGAGTCCAGGTGGGCTCTCTCCCGGCCTCCAAAGGGGAAGTGCCCTTGGGTAGAGATGCTGGGCACCCTTCCAAGACCAGGAGATTAGGATCTTAACCGCTGTTTAACTCACAACTGTTTTCTCTCCCAGAGGAGCCGGTGGGACCAGAGTGACAAAAGCCAGAGAAGGTGTGGACGTTGCTGTGAGGCTCCCCCCCCGCCCCCCCCGCAGGTGTGTGCGGGTGTGTTGCAGCGCCGCAGCCTGCTGCTGCGGGCAGGGACTCCGCAAACGCTTCCTCTCTGATGCTGGTTCGTTGCTTGTTCATTCCACCAGTGCCAGGTTAGAGCAGCTGGCATTTTTTATGGTTGTGAGTTGTCAGAATGCATGAATAACCTTACTACTGTTAGATGAGGGGGAAACCAGTTAAAAATAACGCTACAGATCGCATCTGCCAAAGTTAACAGGTGTGATTATGTCGGGTTGGCCACTCATGAGAAATACTACAGCCGTCGGGAATTCAACACCAGCGTCCGCAATGCGTTTGTGATCTTTACGTAAAGCAGGAGGGGTTCCCCATCACCACTAACAAACAAGTCACCTGACAAGAGCACCGTAAGCTTAATTCGGGCAAGAGGACGTGTTCAAACTTGGAGCACACATGTACACAGAACTCTCTGCGAATTGTTCCAGAATGATGGGATGTGTCAAGCACATGAAAAGCACCCAATAAAACTGTAGAACATCGAGTTACTTTAAAACCAGTCTTTTTTCCACAGGAGAGAAGCTCTGTGTCTTAATTAGTGAAGGGCATTGTTCCCTACCTTTCTGTTCTGAAAACAGTACAAGTAGCGGTGGGGGGTGCGGTGTGGAGGAAAAACCCATCCACCTGCGGCGCCCACACTCGCCCTGCGGTGCAGGAGCCGGTCCTGCCGGAGACACCCGTCCTCCCGTGGTGGCAAGACACTCACCTGCCATAGGAGGCTCTTTTCCTCCACTCCCTGAAAGCCGATAAAGGGGGACCCTGCTTCACAAAGGGTCACAACCCCACTGGAGCCCAGCCCCACTGAGGCTCCTGAGTGGGGGGGGGGTAACAGGACACCCCAAGAAGGGCAGCACGGAGCGGCAGATCAGCAGAGATAAACTGGGAGAACTGCCTCTCACTCAGTGGATCAGAGAATTCATGTCCAGTGGTCTCCTGTCGCCTCGGGATAAACAGCGCCTCCCGGCTTTGGCTTGCGTGGGGCGCTCTGACTCTGACACAGAAGAACTGTTGAAAATGGGCTGGCGCCGCACTTTTGCCAGCCGCCCCCCCAGGCCCCGCTGCCCTGCAGCGGCTTGGCGCGGCGCTGCCCCTGGGCTGGCTTGCCGGCTTACAGCCTGGGTGGTTCCTGATCTGCCGGGTTTCACACCTGTTGCAGGTGCTGCACCCAACCAGGTGTGGCGGAGGCCCCTTGTCATAGGGCCAGGAAACTCCACAGACGAGGGCCACCAACTTCCTCTCAGACTGTGTCCTGGAGGCGGAAACCAGACGACCGTGCCCTGCCTGACCAGCGGGGGCTGTGGCTTTTCCGGTGTCATTTGATGCAGTTTTCATCGATGGGGGGCTTGCGAAGTCAGTTGCAAAGTCGGCCCTGTGATCAGCAGTTCCGCTCCCAGGTCCGCCCCCAGAGGAACGGAAACACACCCAGACAGCCTGCACGCGTGTTCCCAGCAGCGCCGCCTGTGACAGCTACGAAGCAGAAACTGCCCGAACGCCCACCGACCGATGAATGGAGCAATCAAGTGCAGGTAGTCCTACAATGGAACATTGTTTGGCAATAAAAAATAATGCCTGTTACAAAGTAGATAAACCTTGGAAATGCTATGCTAAGTGAAAGAAGTCAGTTACGAAGGTCAACATGTCGCGTGCTTCCATTTATGTGAGATGCCAGAAATCGACAAGTCTAGACAAACGGAAGGGGGTTCCGCTGTGGCCTGGGGCTGGGGGGAGCTTGGGGGGCGGGCGGGGGGGGCGGGAACCCTGGTGCTGGTGGTGCGGCTCTGGGAACGCGCTCGAGTCTCCGACTGCACACTCTGGGGGGGGGACATGCACAGCGTGTGGGCTGCATCTGAGCAACGTCCTGCGGGTCTGCGGCGGAGCTCTGTGCAGCTGTGGGGAGAACGAGGGAGTCACATGTGTGCTGATGTGAAAGATCCCGGGTGAGTTGTAGAGCAAACCAGCAAAGAAGAGAGCGTCCCATCTGTGGCGACAGGCGTGGGGAGGAGCGTCCGGCTCTGACTTCGCTGGGGCGGGCACTGAAGGCCACTTTAGGGACGCTGGGCAGAGGACCGGGTCCCATGTGGGGAAGGTCCATGTGGGGAAGGCCTGGGCCGGGGTGGGTGGCCGGGAGGCAGAGTCCTCAGTGTATACTCCTCATGCCTGAAAGGGTTAGAACTCGGCGCTGCGTGTCCTGTGTGTAATCGGCCCAGCCCTGGGTAATGTGAATCTTTGCCCGAGGTCTCTGCAGGCTCCTGTGCAGCAGTGGCTGGACCACAGCTCTGCCTCTGGGATGGAGATCCCTACACAGACCCCCACGCAGCAGCTGGCCAGCAGTCGGGGTCTCAGCTGTGCCCTTGCCTGTGACCCTGGGCAAGTCCCTGCCCTCTAAGAACTGCCGTTGCCTGCCCTGCGAGGTAGGGGTGCGGGGTCCCACACCCACGGGTCCCAGGAAGGCAGCAGGGAAGCGGCCCAGGCGGGGCTACTGGGGTGCAGGCGTCTGATTGTGAGCGGTGCCCACGCAGGGCAGGGAACGCTGGCAGGCTCCGCGAAGTGAAATGCCACTGTCACACCACCTGGAGGGACCCAAGGTGCTCTCCCTCCACCACCTGGGCATCACCTACACGCAGGGCCCAGGGTCCATGAGTTCTCTCGACTGCTCAACCTCCAGGTCACCCTGCTGGGGTGTATCCATGACCTTGAACCCTCCTTGTTGGCTCAAATCAAACTATGATGTTCGAGGTCGGAGTAAAGGACAGGGGACTGCAGGGACCCTGAAGGGACTCTGGGGACCACTGGTGTTCTGCCTTAGGGGTCTGTCCATTGTGGGCCCTTCCCCAAACCCCACGCTGCCTGCACCCCCGCACACCCCGCCCTGGGATGCACAGTGGGGGCGGGGCGGGGGGGCTTCAGGTTCCTATAGAGAAGCACAAACACTCTTTCTAACAGGGGCTTCCTACTCTGTCATGGCTGTGGCCACGTGGTGCCATCGAATGAAATGTGTGCGGTGGCTGGCACAGGGGTGGCCAGCCCCACAGTCACAGGCCCAGGCAGCCACCGCCTCCGAGGTCAGCGCGCTCCGTGCTGTTTGTAGTTCCTGACACATAACATGACGAGGAACAACTCGTATCGCAGGCCGAGAGGGTCAAGAATTTCCTTCCTCCTGGGGCGCGTCTCCTCAGGCCTCCGGTTCGGTTTAGACAAATACTGGCCTGGGCGCCGCACGCAAAGCCGCTCCGGCAAATATTTGTCTGGGAGCGAGCGCCGCTCCCGTCCCCCCACAACTCCTCTGACTTGAGAGACACCCCTCCCACAGGGCTTGGCTTCTGTTTTCCTTTTCAAATTTTGGGTCCACTGAAGAGCCAGAGAGCTTTGACGATGTCTCAGTTCCAGCAGGGGAAACCAAGGATGTGGATTTGTACAAAAAAGGGGGGGCAGGGGCGCAGAGAAACAAGTGATTTTGAATGTAAAGGTGTCAGAGTGGGCATTTAAAAAAATGTCAGTAAATAAATGCACGTGTCCCTGGTCAGTCTTCTTTCCAAGGGGTGCTTCCTGGGGGCAGACCTCGCTGCCAGTTCTGACCCCTGCCAGGCAGAAGACACTGAAAGTGTCTGATCAGGAGCCCGGGGGGGGGGGGGCGGGGGCTACACAAAGGGCTCTCACCAGAGGCCGTTTAAAAGGCGTTTAGTGCATTTTGAAACTCGTTAACTTAACTGTCATTCTTGCCTTTCCTTTTAATCTTATTACTGTGTTTTCCAGCTTTTAGGGACCTGGAATGTCTGCAGGGAGGAGCAGAGAGAGGCTTCTGGAACTGGAGGGCCAGAGGAAGACAGAAGCCAGCGGATCGAGGGAGATTTAGAAAGGAGAAGGCACAGCACTCGATTAGCCCGAGTGGCAGGCCGAGTGACATTTGCTCTGAACCGAACTGTGTCCCTCTAAAATGCCTGTGTTGAAGCCCTAAGCCCCAACGTGACAGTATTTGAAGGCAGAGCCTCCTGGGACGGTGATTAGGTTTAGGTGAGGTCAGGGGGGTGGGGCCTCACAGAGGTATTAGTGCATCAAAACAGATGGGAGAGCTGAGCCTCCTCCCTGGGCAGCTGCAGAGGAGAGCAGGCAGGGTGCACAGCACAGGTGTTCTTCCAACAAAGAACCCAGCAAATCACCTGGATGGGCCAGGTGACTGCCACACCCTGAGGAACGTGACCTTGACTTCCCCAAAGGCTGAGTGGGCTGGGGGTCTTACTGTGCCACGTTGGCCCTGCAGACCTGTTTTAACTGATACCTGTCTCCTCCGAGGAATAAACCTCCGTGGGTCCTCTTGGGCTTCCCTCCTTTCTTCCAGGGATGAGGTAAAGAAATCTGTGCGATTTCTTATTTAAACAAAGACTGAGAGCCTCGTCCCTTTCCAATTAACGTGGGCAAGTTGAGTCTAAAATTCAAATGGAAAAGTCAGCACACAAGATCAGCCAAGAAAATTCCAGGGAAGGGAAATTATGAAATATTCTTGCAAGACGTAAAAATGTAAGGCAAAGCCACAGAAATCAAAAGCGCTTAGTCAGAGCACATAAAAAGGCAGACGGATCAGCAGAACAGAAACAGACTTAAACACACTCAGGAAAGTAGTTGGAAAGAGAAGGGGTGTTTCAAGTCAGTGGACAAAAGACGGGTCATTTCACAAATGCGTGGGGAAACCGCACAGTCATCTGGGCAGGAGTGGGAGTGGGCCTCCAGTCGGATGCTCAGCAAAAATCAATTCCAGATGGAGCTAAGTTACAGTTTTTAAAATAAGTTTATGAAGGAGCCAGGACAGACACGGGAGATTTATTTTTTGCTCCCAGATGGTGCCAGTCCTTCCAGGCGCGCCACGGGCGTCCGAAATCACAGAAGACAAGACCGAAGAATTAAAAATGTCTCGGCAGCAAAAACAAAAGGCTTTTAACAGACTCAAGAAATAAAAAAAATGATAAGTTGGGGGAAATCACTCCCAACACATGTGGTCAAGTGCCAAATTCCTTAGTATTGCAAAGGTTTTTAACATTAAGAAACAGGTGAGCATCTCAACAGAAAGATGGGCCAAAACACAGGAAAACCTGTCACGGTGAAGGAAGTGCGAATGTTTTTAAAGCAGATCCAACTGTGCTCATTCTCATGCATAATGATGTAAATGCAAATTAAAATTATGCAGAGAACTCCTTCAGGACCTGCTGAGGAGTTCACCTGTGAAATGAGTCTGTCCACCGGGTTCAGGAAGCAGTCACAAGGGTCTCGGGCACACAGGGACAGCTGCCAGCATCGCTATGGAGGAAAACTGCCATGTTCAAGCTTTTCAGCATACATATCTTCTGACTGCTCGGTCCTCTAGGAATTTGGGGGACTTAGGTGTGTGACAGCTGTTTCCAGGACGTATGTACAGGTCTCATCACTGTCCCACTGTAAAAGCAAAAGATTGGAAACCATCTATAAATGTCCATCGAGAGACCTGGTTCAAGGCCGTGTGGAAATCCATGGCACGGGACCCTACTCACGCATCAAAAGGAATGCGGCGGACGTCTGCGCACCGGGGGAGCAGCTGTCAGCGAATCGCTAAGAAAAACAGGGTCCACGCAGACTGGCGTGTGCTCTGTACCCTTTGCAGGGAAAGGCTGGGCACCCTTGTTCAGACCGTGTCAGAGAGGAGGCCCAGGAATCCTTTCATCGCCTCTTAGCAGCTCCCCTTGAAAGGATTTGTTTATTTTCTCTACATGTGTCTGTTATCTATTGAAAGGCAAACCTACGTTTCTGAGTTTCCAAGGAACATTATTAACCGAGTCTTTGCAGGGAACCAGCCGTTTCTAGTATGTTTGAAATTCTGGCTTTCAGGCATTTTAAATCCAGTCCCCTGTACTTCCGTTTCCACCCCTGGTCCGCATCTTCTCTGCCCCCGGTTTGCAACTTCTGCTAGGAGTGTTCCCCTTTGTTAGAGAGATAGCTACCCGAGGAATGTGATGGAAGACTGCACCTGCGGTTGCCCAGACTCTTAACAACAACAAAAAAGAGCCCTTTGAAATTCAGGAATTCGTGCTGCCTTCAATTGAGTGGCCTGATGCTAACGCAGCCCACCTGGTCTCTCCCAGCGCCCGCTCTGCGAGCCACCTGGAGGCAGAGACTCGGCGGTACCTGTGGGTGCTCTGCCCCCTGGTGGTGAGATGGCGCTATAACAACCAGGCCACCGCCGCGGAGCTGCGGAGTCGGATTCCGGGGGGCGGTCCAGCCCCAGGACTCTCAATAGAGGGCGCTGGTGAGACAGCCATGTTTGTGCCACGGAGCTGCGCGCGCTTTCTAGCGCAGCAGTGGAATGTGGATTTCACACCAACACACACAAAAGCACTAGAAAAATTGTAAAGTGCACAGTTATGGGCCTAATGAGAGTCACTGATGTTTTGAATTCCAAATTCTGATGTTCTATAATCGACAGATCTCCTGCCCCCGACTACCGGGTTTATCAGCTGCCTGCCTAAGCCTGACTTTGGAGAGGCCAGGGTGCCTCTCCTCTGCGCCCCCTGCGTCTCGTGCTCCAGCATGTCTGGTGGAGTTTGGCCACATACCCAAACGCTTATGAGAGCACAGTGGCAAACACAAGGCCCGTGGGCCGAATCCCGCCCTCCGCCTTGTTCTCTCCGGCCCGGCACCTTGTTTCTACCCCGTGGCAGCCCCGAGCTCTCGCTTAACTGTTAAGGAGCAGTTACACTTACACAGTCCTAAATTATATTCGTCCCGTTGAAGGCAACGGTGAGGCTGCTGCGGCCCCTGGTGACGAATTTGACCCCTTGCTGTAGAGCAAGAGTCAACACACTTATTTTTCTTTTCCTGTAAAGGGCCAGGTGGTTAATACTTTTGGGTCTATGATTCATATGACCTCTGTCGCAAGACTTCAACCCTGCCTTTGTCACGTGAATGCAGTGCTAGACAATATGTAAATAAATGTGTGATCGTTGCAATAAAACTTCATTTATAAAAACAGACGGAGGGCTGGATTTGGCCTGTGCGCCACAGCTGGCCAAACTGGTTGGGAACCTGTGTCCCTGTCTCTAAAATCCAGGGACACCAGGCCCTGCCGGCAGCGCGATGCTCTGTGGTGTGCCGCCCCACGGCAGGGAGACCAGCACAGCCATGGCTGCTGTTTGCTCAGTTAGCATGTCCAGTGAGAGCCTGCTCCAGCATGTTCAGACCTCCCGGGCCCCAAGAAAACGTCAAACCTTGGGGAGCTGGGAGTGACGCCTTCGTGCTGTGTGAGGCCCCAAAGCCTTTGACCCAAGAAATCAGCCCAAACCACACAGCCCTTCCCCCAGAGCTCTCAGCCTTGCCTGCTGCATCAGAGCACCCAGGCCCTCCACACCTGTGCAGCGAGCGTCTCCCAGAGACCCTGTGAGCACAGAGCCCGAAGAACATGCACCTGTGCCTCAGTCCTCCACGGCCCTGAGCGAGCCCCCTCCTTCTCTCAGAATTGAGGGTGCGATGGTGCCTTTCTGTGTCCTTTCCTCGTTTTTAAAAAAATATTTTATTTTTAGAGAGAAGGGAAGAGAAGGGAAAGAGAGAGAGAAACATCAATGTGTGGCTGCCTCTTGTGCGCCCCCCGCTGGAGACCTGGCCTGCAACCCAGGCATGTGCCTGACTGGGAATTGAACCAGCAACCCTTGGGTTCACAGGCCGGCGCTCAATTCACTGAGCCGCACCAGCCAGGGCTTCCTTTTTCTCTTTTAATGCAGGGTCAGCCCTTGAGTGCGTTGCCCCATCCTCTCCCCGTATTTCCACTTTCCTGCTGGGGAGGGGTTCAGCCCTGCCCACTCTTGGGAACTTGCTTAAAATAGCTGTTGCTGTGGGGGTTTTCTTTATGTTCTTTTGCCACAAGTATCAAAAGGCTTCCCGTGAAAGTGAAGCAGCAGGAGGCTCCCAGCATGCCCCGTACAAGGGCCATACAGGGGCCGCTGACTGACTGCAGGGAGAAGCAGCCCTGGGCTCCTCTCTTTCACCCTTAAAGGGACAACCTCACCTCCAATGTCCGGCCTCCAGCAGCCTATTCAAGGGTTTATCATTGTTTTATTTTCCATTTGATATAGTTAGTATGCAATGGTATATTTATTATGTTAGTTTAGGTGTACAATACAGTGATTCGACATTTTTATACCTCACAGTGTGATCACCCCACTAATACTGCAATATTATTGACCACATCCCCCTTCGCCTTCGTCATCCAGCCACCCACCCTGTCCCCTCTGGCAACCATCTGAGCTCAGTTTCTATGAGTCTGTTTTTGTTTCATTTGCTCATTTTTGTGAAGTCATATGGTACTTGTTGTCCTCTGACTTATCTCACTGAGCAGTTTACTCTGCAGGTCCATCCACGCTGTCGCAAATGGCAAGAGCTCATTCTCTTGTGTGGATGGTACTCCACTGTGTGCTCGCACGGCGCCTTCTTCTCCAGCCCTCCGTCGACGGGCACCCAGGCCGCTCCATAGCTCGGCTCTCGTAAATAGTACTGCGGTGAACGTTGGGGTCCAAGTATCTTTTCGAAGTAGTGTTTTCATTTTCTTTGGATAACTACCCCGATGATCTGCTGAGTGGTGTGGTTACAGGGGAGCCGGCTCCACCCACCCAAATGACAAGGAACCTTTTCTTTCATCCTGCTGGTTGGCAGGCAGGTGCCACCGTGTGGCTCAGCCTCTGTTCCCTTTGCCACGTCTCCCTCCGCCTCTCTGACACCTGTTTCACCACTTCTTCGTGCCAGCTTCTCCGCCAGCATGAACAGTGAGGATGCTGTCTTCCTCACGCCCGAACGACCAGCTACGGTGACAAAGCGCGTTTGCTGAGGGACGAGAATACGCGATGGGAACCTCTACTGGCAGAAATCACAGGCGGGTTTGTAGCAGCACCTTCCGTTTGGTGAGATCAGGTGACCTGACCATCTGTCAAGGGCTTATTCTGTGTCTGCGCTTTTCTGAACTCTTGGCCCAAAATTCCTGCACTGGGCTGAATGCCCACCCAGAATCTCAAGCTATGGCCTTATTTGGAGATAGAGCCACTGCTGATGGAGTTACAGTAGGGGTCTACAAATGAGATCGTCCTGGGTTAGGGGGGCCCTAGATCGGATGACTGGTGTTCTGGTAAGAAGAGGAAAAGACCCAGCCAGCCAGAGGAGAGGCCAGGTGAGGACGGAAGCAGAGACTGGAGGGACGCAGCCACAAGCCGAGGACACCTGGAGCCACTAGAAACTGGAAGAGTCAGGAAGGACCCCCCCGGAAGCCCCAGAGAGAGTAGGGTTCTGCCGACATCTCGGTGTTGGACTTCTGGCTTCTAGAACTCTGAGAGAATAAATCTGTGCTGTTTCGAGCCACCGATTTTATGGTAAATGGTTATGGCAGCCACAAGAACTCCCTGAAGTCTCACCCACAAGCTGGGTTTAAAACCCAAGCTGGGTTCCAGGTGTCTGGAAACCTGGGTTCTTCTCTGTGGGTCTCCAGGGGGTCCCCAGAGCAGGCACATTCTCCAGTCTCCATGGGATCTCATGGGACCTCATGGGACCTTGTCCGGGACAAGCCCAGCCCGGCTCACCTCTTGCCCTGTGTCTTTGAAACTGACAGGAGCCCATCTCTGCGCATCGTCAGTGTGAGGGACAAAGGGGAGGGTGTGCGGCCAGGTGGTGGGGGGTGGGGACCCGGCCCCCGGTCACAGTGGGTGGGCCCTGGAGCAGCGACTTCCCCACTGCCCCCCTGTGACGGGGTCTGTGGGGGACACTCAGTGTCTTCTTACCCAAACCAGCTGAGCCTCTTCAGGAACCCGATTCAGAGTTTTCGTCTTGCACTAGGCGAGAGCCCCCCGCTGCCTTGCTCTCTCTCTGCCACGACTCTGCAAGGTTGTTGGCCAGCATGAAATTACTCTGGGGGTCCCCTGATGTGTGCCTCTGTCCCCACTCCTGGGAGGCCTCGTGGTGACTGCTTGACAATGGGCCTGTCTGGGCTGGGCCACCAAGGACGTTCGCACCAGGGGCAGGGGGTGAAAGGGGCAGGCAGAATGAGGGTCCAAGGTGGTTAAGGGTCCCCGTGGTGTCCTTTGAGCAGACTGGACAAAGGAAGCCTTCCTGCGGGCGGCCCCAGTCCTGCTCCAGGGCTGCTGGGACTAATCAGCCGTGGGGACCTCGTCTGTCCAGTGCTGGGTGCTGCGTGCTGGGCCATCCCGAAGGCTAGACCGGACTCTGTCCTCCCCAGTGGAGGGTGTCCGTGCCCACCGCGGTCACCAGGGTGGAGTCCTTCCTCTGTGCACAGCGCAGGTGTCCCCAGGCCTGGGACTGAAGGGGACGCCAGTCTGGCTGAAAGATGAGTTTCCAAGGGCTGGAGAGGCACCGTGTCCTTGGTGGTGTAGTTCCTGGAAATGGGAGAAGGGGTCCCAGCACTATGGAAGTGGGGGTGTGTGTTCCAGATCCTTCCCAAGAATTCTGAGCCAGGTAAGGGCAGCCCGATGCAGCGTCCCCTGGTGGGGTTGGGACCTGCTGGTCCCCTGGCCAGGACCACACTGGGGACAAGGCTGCCAGAGGTTTCACCGGCTTCTGCCACTGAGGCTGGGGAGCCCTTCAGACTCCGGTCTCCCCTCTGACTCTGCTTTCTGTCTGCTTGGGCTGGGGGCTTGCTGGGGGCTGGCTGGGGGCTGGGCTTTCCCCCCAAAGTGCAGTGCCTACGTCCGTGGTCTTGGGGCGGAGTCCAGCTCAGGGTCATATTTTGTTTGGCCTGCACAATTTCTAAAAACGAGTTTGTTGTCAACATTAAAAACCAGGAGATCTCAAACCAGACATCCAGATTTCCAGTATATTTTTTTTAAATATTTTATTATTTATTTATCTTTAGAGGGGAAGGGGGGGAAGGAGAGAGGGAGAGAAACATCAATGTATGGTTGCCTTTTGTGTGTCCCCTGCTGGGAACTGGCCTGCAGGGAACCGGCCTGCAACCCAGGCATGTGCCCTGACTGGGAATCGAACCGCGATCGTGTGGTTCGCAGGCCCGCGCTCAATCCACTGAGCTACACCAGCCAGGGCTCCAGTATATATTTTTTAAATAACCCACAAGTTCATTCAGACGGAGCACATTTCCGGCTGGCAGAAAACACACTCAGCCATGTTTTCGGGGGATGGGGAGGGTGGGGGGCGCTCCGCAGTCTGCCCTGGCTCTGCCTGGCTCCCCAGTTCCTGTCCTTGGGCACCGGTGAGTCGCTGCAGAGATTACCTGCCCGCTGACAACCTGACATCCTCGTTCCTGAGCCCCCAGGGTGGTCCCCTCAGAGCCCCCGAGAACCCACAACCACTTTGTAAAAGGGCCACAGTGATGGTCAGAGAACACACACCACAGAGCAGGATAAAAGAATTTAATTTTTTTAAAAGATCTTATTGATTCCTCAAAAGGCACGTCGCCCCACCCAGTGCACACAGAAAGCACCGCACATGAAGCAGTTGCTGAGATTCTGTTTTCAGAGGGCTCGGTACGGCCTCCGGCTGCAGCAAGACATCTACGTCCGCCGAACCAGATTTTAAAGTACAGTAAGGAGGATTGGAAATCCGGGGCTTGGGAAGGGTTTGGGGGCCCCGGGCAGTGTGCCAAACAGCTAGCTGGTCCCTCGGGGACAGGGAGGAGTCTCGGGTGGCGCTGGGGGACAGGAGCTGGTTGTAAGGAGCCAGTTCTGTGCCTGGAACATCATAGTCAGTGTGACGCTGTGACTCGGCCGCGGTCACTCTGGGTCCCCCTCCACCCGCGTTCCCCGCCTGCCTTTCTTCACCACGGCGAGATGTAACTGAGTGGAGCAGGGAACCCCACTGGGGCTATGACATGCGAGCAGCCAAAGGTGCTTTTGGGGGCCCGTGACCCCCCAAGACGGTGGGAAGCATGTTGTACATGAGTACTTGGGGGGTGTGGAGGGATCATTAGCTTTCGTGAGATTTTCGAGGGGCTCTGTGACCCCAAGGGCCTACCTCAAGGACTCAGTCACCCAGGCTCTGCCCGAGACGTCCCCGCCAAGGGCCTCCGACTCCCCCAGCGGAGTCGCTGTCTGTGCAGGACCCCAGGCCTGGGGGCGGACGGGGACGGGCGTGTGCCCTTGAGGTCAGCCTTCAACGCTAGGGGAAGGTGTGGACAGCCACGGTTGATTAAAGCGCCCCACCCTCTACGGACGAGTGTGCGGGTGTGGCGGAGTGCTTGTGCTGCCCACGGCGCACCTGCTCCGCGACTCTCTCCAGTCGGGCCACGGGAACCAGGCTTATTCTGCAGCCCTGAACCCCCTCCTGGTCCCATCTACCTCCACCCCAGTCCCTTCCCTTCCCACCTCCATCTTTGAGAGCATCTTCTGTTTTGTGTAAATAAGGATGGCAGAGAGGACAGCCGTCTCGGGGGCGGGAGGTGGAGGTGGGCCACTGTGTGAGTGTCCCGGGGCTGCCGTGACTGAGAGTCCCAAACTACGTGGCCTCGAACCAGAGAAACTCATTGTTGCACAGTCTGAGGGCCAGGAGTCCGAAGCCAGGGTCACGGGCTGTGCTTCCTCTGTCGCCTGCAGGGGACACTGCCTCCGGCTTGTGGCTGTGCCACTCCAGTCTCTGCCTCTGTCGTCACAGGGGCTCGTCCCATGTGTCCGCATCCGGGTCTCCCTCTCCTTTGAAGGACATCCCTCATATTTCATTAGTGCCGACCCCAAGGACCTCACCTTCCCTGATGGCATCTGCAAAGACCCTGTTTTCACATAGGGTCACATTCGTAGGGACCAGGGACTTGAACAAATATTTTGTGAGGACACGGTGCCACCACAATGGGCACAGAAGCTCAAAAGGCCCCGCCACCTCAGTGCTCAGAGTTGCCCCGTGCCCACGCCCACCCCTTCCCCTGGGCCCCATGGGGGGCACCCTTCCCTCCTGCCGTGATAACTGAGTACCTTCTGCTTGCTGTACATTTGGAAGCAGACATTTTTTTTCCTCCTGCATCTTAGTCTTATAAGGTAGGTGTATTTGTTACAATACAGATTCTGCTGCTGTAACATAAACCAAAATAACGGTGGCTTAAGGGAGATTGGAGTTAGTTTCTTTTTCCTATGAAGCCTGAGCTGGTGGGTGTCCAGGAGGGCTGGGGGACCCTGCCTCATGGCATTGCCTGGGGCCCCAGACTCTGTCATCTGTGACACACTGTCCATTTCCAAAGCCAAAGCTGGTCCACCACTCACCGATGTCCCAGCCACTGGGGCATGGGAAAGGGAAATAGAGGAAATGTCCTTCACTTTCCAAAAATCACTCCCACCTCCACTGGCCAAAACTTCATCGCATGACCTGCTAGCTGCAAGGGAGTCTGGGAACCACAGCTCCCATTCTCCGAGGCCACCCTCTCAGGGAACAGTCCCTGGGGAACAGCTGATGGTCTAGGACAGAAGGAATGTGATCGTAGAGAAATAGTGCTCCTAATACACCCCTCACCATTACAGAGCAAAAAAGTGTGTCCTTGCAATAAAGAGTATAAGAGGGCAGAGGCTTGGGACAATCAGACTTCCCACAGACTTGGCCCTGTGTTCACCGGCCAGGGTCAGGATGCGGGCTTCCCCTCGGGAAGGCCCGTGTTGGGCCGTTCCACGGCCAGCTGGTTCTCAATGACGTAGCAGGCCTTGCAGCTCTCCAGGACCCGGGCCTGGAAGTACGCCTTGTCTTTCTGCTGCCAGGCGTCGGACTCGATGTACACGTTGAAGGGGTCGTGCGAGTGCTCCAGCTTCTTGGAGCGGATGTAGCTGAGCATGATGCCCAGGGTGAAGAAACCAAAGAAGCCAAGCACCATGAGGACGTAGAGGGCCTCCATCCCGCCGTGACCGTCCCCGAGGACCCGGCGGGCCAGGCCCGACACGTTGCCGTGCTGAGCTGTCTCCTGCCACAGCTTGGTCAGGAAGGGTGTCACCGCTGTGGTGTTGGACAGGGCCATCCCGGACTTCGAGTTTCCACGGCGGCAGAGGGACCTTCCTGGGCACACTGCCTGCGAGAAAAGCGCAACCTGAACTCAGAAAGTGCAGCACCCTCCATGCCCATGCAGGGCGCCATTTCAGAATCCCAGGTGAGGGGGGCCTCAGCTCCCCCCGGCCCACACCGGGCGCCGTCCTGGGTCTGCGCAATGGCCTCTCTTGATCCGTCAACTGATACATTGATTTCCTCTTATTCCCGCTCACCAGCCCCACCCCCGACCCCGCGGGTGACCACCAGAACGGGCCCCTTTAATACGCACCTTGTTGTGCATGCACCTTTCTGTTCACCTGCAAAGGGCCAACCTGTGTCCCTCCCCCAGATCATCTGTCGAAGCCCCAGAGTGACTGCACCTGGGGCCGGGTCTTCAGGGGGTCATTAAGGTTACATGAGGTCCTGAGGGTGGGGCCCTGACCTATTGGGACGGTGGCTTTACAAGAAGAGGAAGACAGAGCTACATCTCCTTGGCACATGAGGGCACCTTGAGGAGGTGGCCACCTGCAAGCCAGGAAGAGACTGACCCTGCCAGAACCTTGGACTTGGCCTTTCAGCCTCCAAGACTGTGAGGAAATGGATGTGCACGCTGGCTGTCCCCTGCCTGTGGCATTTTGCAATGGCGGCCTGAGCTGACGGACGTGCTCTGTGAATGGGATCGGGGCGCCTGGCTCCCCAACCTCCCTTTGTCTGTCCTCAGCGCCACGGCTCTCCGGCCCCTCGGGCTGTAAGTCGTTCCCGTCCTTCCCCGTCCCAGGGGACCCATGGTCGGTACCCACTGCTTCTCCATGCCCACCCCCCAGAGCTGGACACTGCAGTGCCACCGACTCCACACACACAGGGTGACCGACGGCCTCCTGGGGAAGTCACATGTCTTGCACAGCTGGTGCTGGGTGGATGGTCAGACCGAGGAGCTGTCGGCCTCCTGGGAGGTAACTCCCCCCGGACACCATCTGAGGGGGAGCCCTACCCCACCCTCCCACACGGTGGCCAGGGGGGTGCGGTGACAGCTCTCACCCAGCTCCCCACTAAGGGGCCAAGTCCCAGCTCCTGCTTGTTTGCCACCCACTGAATGGCCGGCAGCTGCTGTGTAGAAGGTGACAGTTTCCCCATCACTTCAATCTTGACATCACTGTCCCTGACCACCCACGTAATAAGCTTTGGAGGTGTGACATGGGACCCTCCAAAACCCTCCCCTGGGGGGCCCTGCAGTCAGCGACAAGCTAAAGCAGGTTGTATTCTTGTTTGTTTGGGAAAAGTCTGGTTTCTGCCCTCACTTCCTGCTGAGAAACAGCCCCTAAGGCCAAGCTGAGGGGCCCACACTCCAGGCTCAGCCCAGAAGGGGGTGCTGGGGGCGAACCCCCCACTAATGGTCCGTCTTACTTCTCAGGATCCGCCAAGCGGCTGAGTGAAACACCCTGGGTGGCTGCTGTGGCTACAGGGAGAGGGGCACTGGGGGGCAGGGTTTCTGGCAGAAATGCCCTCAGGCCCTGTGTGTGGTGCACATGTGGGGGGGGTGGGGGGGGGCCGGGGGCGGGGTCAGGCTCGCGTAGAGCAGACAGGCTGGCACAGCCTGGCACCGGCCTCAGACGTCAGCCCCAGAAACCCCAGATCGGACCAGCGCTCATTCTTAGCGGAGCGGGCTTCCTCCTCAGAGGGTCACTAGACACAGTGAAAGATGCAGCCCCGCCCTCTTCCTCCGCCATCCCCGAAACCCACTGTCCACCCCCTCTCCCTCACTGAGGCCCCTCCCTGGTCACCGCACCTGCTCCTCCGGGGTCACCCACGAGGCCACCACCCCAGGCACCCTTCCAGCACCAGTGACCAGTGACCTTTCAAGGACTCACTCACCTCCTGCCACCCCCACCGACCCCTCCTGGTGGACAGAGCCGGCTCCACACCCAGTGAGCTGTGCCACCCGCCCCGCACAGCCAGTCCCGTCAGCCCCAGCCTGCTGGGCCTCCCGCCGTTGGGGGGAGACGCCCTGTTGTCCGCTCGGCTCCCAGCCCTGAGAGGGGGCCCTGCTCCCTGTCCCCCACCCCCCCGTCCCACCCCCATCCCCCCTGTCCTGCTGCCTGTCTTACTCCTCTGGCACCACTTTCCCAGACCCCACGCTCCCACGCTGCTCACCCCATCCGGGACCCTGAACTTGTCGTCAGGTCTCCAGCACAAGTGGGAATCTCCTGCGTGGTGCCTAGCCACACCGTGAAACTCCACTGGACTCTCACCTCTTCCCCAAAGCTTTCTCTGGCGCTGGGGCGGTTAGCACCGCCCACACCACGTGCTGGGGGCTGCTGTGCTCCCTGCCGACTTCACCGCCGCCATCGTCTCTGTCCACTGCCTGCTGCCCACTGCCCCACGGCCTCCCTAGCACGCAGCGACACCGGGCAAACTCCTTACTGCCTCCTGACCAGTGGGGCCGACTCTTCCTGGCAGGCTTATCTGATTAGCAGATGCCGTGGCTGCCTCCAGAGCTGCAGCTACGTCCCTTTTCCGGAGGGGCCACCGTTTCCCGGCTGGAACCACACTCCCAGATCCGTGAGGGGGGCGGGGTGAGAGGGCACTCAGATGTCGGAGTCATACCTCCTCCTGGCCTGGATTCAGGCCCCTAGGTCCCAACCCTGTGACCCCAGTCTGCTTCCTTAGGCCAGCCCAGGCCGGTCTTTTTCCCTTTGGGAAATGAGGAGAAAGGTCGCTGACACTGAGGCTGTGGGTCACCCCCCAGGTCCTAGAGTGGTGACCGCGTGTGTGGCACACAGCATGCGTACTTAGTGTCCCAAGCGTGAGTGTTTGGGGTTTTTTCACCTTGTTAGGAAACAGCTGCCCGGGACTTTGGGGGTTTGGGTCTTGGGGTCCGGCTCTGCCACAGCTGACCCCTGTGGCTCTGCTTCCTCTCGTGGTGACGTGGCCACAGTGAGGGACACGTGGGTTTGCAGCCTTCCCTGACACCGTCGGGGCACTCGAGTCTGCGCCCAGAGACCTGGCAGGGGGCGAGCTGTGAGAGAGTCTCCCACTAAACCGGTATTCGGCTCCTTTCTAGCCGGGGGGTGGGCAGAAGTTGCTGGGTAACAAATGTTTTCCTTAAAAGCTCAGACCTGGGTCTGCAGGACTGCTGGAAATCACTCCAGATTTCCAAACTCGACGTCCAATATTTTCTTTTCAAATGACTGGAAACCACTTAAGAACTCATCAGTCCTGCCCAGAAAACAGCTTTGAGCTGGTAATATACTTTCCTCCCCAAACCCCGAGGGACGGCAATTGGCCGGCGTTCCTGCCACCAGCCCCTGCTGGAATGTTCTTATCACTTCCCCACCACGTGAGCGGGCTTCCGGTGGCCACCGCCAAAGGTGCTCGGGTTCAGAGGCCACGGCAAGCTCAAAGGGACTCCTGCAACTGAGGCCGTGTTGCTCAGTTCCCCGGGACCTGCCACTCAAGACCAGATGGACTTTTCTGTGCCCAGAGGAAGCAACCAGAAACATCCGCCCTGAAAGCCCGCCAGGCTGAGATCTGCAGCCTTCCTCTGAGGCCGTGCACTCAAGCTCTAGAATCACTGAGTAAAAACGCGGCAGGCAGGCCCCACCCCTGGAGTTTCTGACTTGGAAGGCCCAGGGCCTGAGAGGTCGAATTTCTAACGAGTTCCCAGGTGCTGCTCCCACTGGGGACCCCACTTGGTGACTTAGGAACCACCTGCGGAGCTTTAAAACTATGATGCCTGAATTTCATCTCCGAAGAGGGATGTCCTCGGTCAAGGTTCCTATATTGCACGGGGAGTTTTTATTAAACCTCACCTGAGGACATGTTTATTGATTTCAGAGCGAGGGGAAGGGGGAGAGAGAGGCATCCATGTAAGAATTAGCGATCAGTTACCTCCTGTCCACACAGTCACTCGGGGCTGAAACTGCAAAGCAGGTGTGTCCGGACCAGGGACGGAACCTGCAACCTTTCCGGTGGGTGGGGCAGCGCCTCGACCCACGGACCCGCCGGCCAGGGCTGGCTTTGGGACTTTTAGAAGCTCCCCAGGCGATCCTAACTTGTAGCCAAGACCGAGACCACGGGGCTCTGATGCGGGGCTTGAGGAAGCCGACCCATCAGCCATCTGGGCGGCCTGGCCCCGGGGAATCTTTCATAAGCAGAGAAATGGGGTTTCACAGCAGAATTTCCCAATCTCATCTGGTCTTCAGATTTTCTCCCCTGGGCTCACACGTCCCCGTGTCACCAGAAGGGAGAGTGCAGAGGGAACCCCTTCACTGTCGTCACCTCGCTGCCCCACCCCAACTCTTGCTGGCATCCAGCTCCCGCGAGCCTCGCAGAGCTTTAGGCCGGCCCAGGAAAGGCGCGTCAATCAGCTGCCTTTCCAGTGACAACTCTGACCTGTTAAGGCAAAGCCTGTTTCTTACTTTACTCTGATTTACTGACCGGCTTTGGCCAAAGGCCCTCTGAGCGTCCCGGGCTCGAGTGCTGGGTCTCATGGTGGTTTGTGCAGAGTCTCAGAGTCAGTTTGACTAAATCCACTAATGACACAGACCCCAAGCGGCACATCCACTGGGGGTGTACATCCTGTGCCCCAAGTTCACTTCCACTGTAATGACGAATCACTGGCCAGTGGCCACCATTTTAGATTTGGACTCACATGAACCTGGACAACAACCGATCCAACTTACAGACACCTGGGCTCCATGCAGGTGAGCTGACCCACCCAAGGTCATGTCTGTTACCAAAAATGTATCTAAAGCCTAAAGATGTAGTAAAGAAAAGGCAGTTCTCGGGTCTTGACTGAGAGGAGATGGATTCTTAGGCTCCCAGGAACTGGGGAGCTGGCCACTTCCATCAAGTAAAACTGCACCCACCTGAAGGAGAACTGGCTTCAGAGTCACCAGGGCACCCTACCCCCATGTGGGACACTCCTCCCACACAGGGGACACCACAGCTTTCGCGCCATGCACAGAGGCAAGGGGGCTGGGCAGCTGGGGCAGCGGGAACCAGCAGGCTCCGCCTCCAAACACAACCACTGTTACGAGGCTTGGACCCTGTTGGACGTCATCGGAGCTTAGACCCAGAGCGGCTGCGACCACTCAGGACGAGGCTCTGGGAGCTGAGCTGGGCTAGCGGCTGGCCGCCCCGCCCTGGGCGCTCTCTGTGAGGCCCCCGACCGGACGTCACGCCGTCCCGGCACACACCAGCCTCTGCATTTCTCCCACGTGTTCCAGCCCTGTGCCTGGCAGTGCTGATAGCAGCGTGCAAGCTCTTAGGGCTGGTTTCCCGCATTACCATTTTTCATTCTCTCCTAAGCACTGACCAGCAGGCCAGGCTCCCGTGGCTGACTCCAAGCTCTGCTCTGAGAAGGACGGGTCCTGGGGGTGAGCAGGGGAGGGGGCACGTCGGACTCAGAGCCTGCTGGGTCCCAGCTGCACCACCGCTCCCCGGGCCTCCACTGCTTATCTAGGCGGAACGAGAATAATGTGCCTCATTCTTCGCAGCATTCCTGGAGCGTTTTCCCGACAGAGCATCAGGTCTGGAAACCATCAGTGGGCCTGACCTGCTGTGGGAAGCAGGCCCAGGGTGGAACAATCACAGAGGAGCCTAATTTGGGAGACCATGATCTCACCGGGGCAAGAATTCTATGAGCCAATGTTCCTTAGAAGCCGTTGTCAACTGTTTGCATCATTATTGCAACACCGTGCCCAAATTCTGGAGGCACATTTGTCTCCTTGCAGGAGAGGAGCCAGCGGGGCCCTGAAACCCTTCCAGGCAGGCTTCCCACGTGACCCCACCTGGAGGCAGTGAGTCACTGAGGGGCCGGGTCTCAGGCACAGCATCTGACTGTCCTACTGGATCTCAACGGGCTTCCGGCCCCTGCCCTGCTGGGCCTGAACTATGGCTCTTGAGTCCGGTGGTAGGACCGGGACCTTGCCAGACGAGAGGGGGGTTCGGGGTGTGACAGGTGAGAATGTGAACCGTGTGCTCGCTGAGGAGAGGGACCCGGTCACACGCAACCTAGACTAAGGAGGAGCATCTGGGCACAGGTGCTCAGGAGGACTCCCAGGCTCCAGGGGCAGCCGAAGTCACATGGAAGGAAGGCAGATGGAATCTCACCCTCGGCAAATTAAAATAACTCGGGGTGCCTCTGACCCTCACCTGAAAACAGGGACGAGTGGAATCTACCCCAACTACACCACCAGGTTCTGTGGGGCATGCAGTGAGCCCCCACTTTCTTACCTCTTGTTTTCGCTGCTTTCTTTGCAAGAACGGTGTGACCACCGTATTTGCTTGTCAGAACCCTCCAGAAGTCCGCTCCTGTGCCACCGGTCATGCGAACCCACCCAGATGTCCCCAACCCTCTTCGACGCTCAGAGCTCCCTGGCAGTCAGCGCCCACACTGTCGGGGTCACGACAACCTGTGGACCAGTCTGGGCCTTTCCTCCCAGGAGCTCGGTGAGGTCAGAGACTCCTGCTCGCCCTGTCCATGCTCCCACTGTCCCTGCTCCCACGCCCGGGAGGCGGCCTCAGGGGTTTGCCGAGTCAAACAGGTTTAGGCTCCAGGCAAATGCAACCTGAGAACAAGTAATAAACTGCTACCGCTCTGCACTCTGGGAGGAAATGGGGCGGGGGCTTGGGACCCCAGGAAAACCTCCATCAGTGCAGCAGGTCTGCGTATGAGGAAAATTAAACGACTTGTGTTTCTTTTATTACCTCATTCGAGCTGTTTGTTTTGTGTATCAAGTGTACGCGGGCACTGCCGTTCTGCGAGTCTCTGCAGCCCGCCCTGCTCCTCCGGCGGCTCAGGACGGTTGGTGATCTCGACGCCTCGGCAGCTTTCTCACCCCCCCGCCCCTCCCCACGGTGGGGACCCACACCTTGCTTCCTTTTCCCCACACTACCTATCGCCTGCGAAGACACTTTAGTTTTCTTGCTTGTTACATTCCTTGTTTGCTGTTTGTCTTCCCCACTGAAATGCATGCTTGCTTCTGAGGGTGAGGCCCTTGGGCTGCGCTGGTCCTCGAGGCCCCCAGGCCGGAAACAGGTCTGCTTGTGGCCGGGGCTCGAGGGGGGCGGTCACAGGACGCGGGCGTGCTGTAGGGGCACCCGAAAGCACAGACGTTCCACTCAAGTAGGATGGATGCCGCCACTCGGAAACTGTCTCCCAGCTCTCCCTGCTGAGACCGAGGACAGGCGCGAGTCCCTCTGGTGTCCTCAGAGTCCACTTTCAAACATTCCACTTTCTAATAACCCATCCAAAGCCCACCCCAGCTCGCCTCGGCTGGGAAGCGAGAGACAGACAGGACGGCAGGAGGTTCCTGCCCGCTCGTCAGAAATGCTGGGACCGGAGCCAGGGCTGCTCCCTGGGCACACGGAGACAGAGCCGCGGTGTGGCCACACAAAGCTCCCACCACCGAGCCCATGGTGACAGCGTGGTGACTGGCAAGGCCCTCCTTGGATGGAGCTGGGAGGCCACTCCTAACCTAAATTCAGGCTCCACAGAGCCCACTGCGGCAGCCCTGGAACCCGGGCGGGGGGGTGGGCGGACTCACCCTGCACTAGCTGCTGCTGGGCGACTTTCTCAGGAGCTCCCACCTGTTCCCCAGCCACTGCGATCAAGAGCAGACACCCACAGCCTCCTCCGTGTCCCGTGCCTTTTCCCCCAGGGGGTGCCAAGGCCCCAGAACCTTCCTGGTCAAACATAAGTAAATGAATGGATAGCTAGATAGATAAGTGTTCCCTTTGAGACTGGTGTGTATTGCCTGAGCTCGAAGCTGCTGAAACCAAGCGGGGTCTGGAATTGTGGGCCGTTTTAGTTTTCTCTGGATGTTTGGGGGTGTTTTCCAGGTATTCTACAAGCATGTCTGTAATTTAAGGATGATTAAATTAAGGGAGACACTGTCCGCGCCGGGCCGTGATGAGCTGCGTTCCGTGCTGGCGTTCTGTAAGTGGAGAGGACTGAACAAAGGAGAGCCAAGGCTGCACTCTCCCGGGACAGGGTCGCCGCGCCCGCCTCCTGCCTGGGGGCGCCCAGTGCGCGCCCCAGGCTCAGACCGGGTCCCTGGAGTCCCCTAGAGGCGCCGACTGGGGCACCCGCACTTGGGCGAGGAGCCTGAAGACAGGAACCCCGGACTTACCGGGTCTGGGGCGCTGAGAGAGCCGGGTGCGCAGCGGCGTCCGTGCGGGTGGAGCGCAGGGCACGGACAGCCGCGCCGCAGGCTGCGCGCTCCGAGGCCAAGTGAGCGCTGAGCGCTGCGGGGTGGGCGGGGCTTTACCAGCCAACCGAGGCCCCGCCCCATCCCCTCGCCAAGCGACCCCAGCCAGGCCGGGCTCCCCTGCCCCGCCCACCCCCATCCTACTTCCCCCGCCAAGTGCTTTGGATCAGGGCGGGTGGGCTAAGGGCCCGAAGGCGAAGGAAGTTGTATTACAACTGCCACAGACAGACAAACCCACCCTCTTACAGGTGTTTGGGGTTAGGAGGCCAGAAGCTCCTGTTGCTGATGGGAAGGCCCACCGGGAGCCCTGGCCCTCGGCCCAGTGTCCTGACAGACACCCTGGGCACAGTCTCACACCACCGCTTCAGGTCCGCTCCAGCCCCAGTGGACTCCTCCTAGCCACACGCACACCCCTGCTGTGGCCCTGCACTTACTGGGCATTTACTGAGCACCCTCTGAGGGGGTGTGGGTCCTGAGTGGGGCTGCAGCTGTGGACCAGACTGGAGGGTGTCCCCTTGCGCAGGGGTCAGTCTCCGGGAGCTACCCTGGCCTCGGCACTTGAGCTCCAAAGTGCTTTGGGCAGTGGGGACTGCGCCGAGGTGCAGACCTCGCGATGGCCCCTGTGGCCACTGGCAAATGCCACAGCAGGTGCCCCCCAGCCTAGGAAGTGAGAGCGAGACGGAGCAGTTCCGGAATGACAGTCCCTTGAAAGTGCTGGGAGTGAGGTCTCAGCTTGCCGTCTCAGGCAGGCAGCAGATGTGGGTCTGGACCAGGGCAAGGAGACACTTTCTGGGGTCCCCGCATCTTCCCTGGTCCGTCACTTCTCTGGAGGCCTCGGCCCCGAGGTGTCCGTCTGGTGGGCCTTCGCACTCTTAGCTTGGCTGGCTCTGCCCTGGACCGTGGGTGCTTCCGGTACACCCCCACCCAGCCACCCCGAAAGGTGTTGCAACACCCCCAGCCTGGCAGGGGGATTGTCCTGCAGTCTGTACAGAGGACCTGAACTGGGGGAGAGTCTTCACCGTTTTACTCACGTAGGTAGAACCTCAAGTCTCGGAACAGAAAATCCGTCAAAGGATGGTCCCCTGACAGAACGCCAGGCTTTGTGGCGGAAGATCACATGCAGCTGCTAAGAAGACGTGTACGCGGCCGTCTGCAGTGGCACGGCGTCCCCGCACTGTCATGTGGAGTGGACACACAAGGTCCCGCGTCGTACGCTCGGGGGGCTACGCAACGGTTCACATGCAGGGAAACACACTGTGGTGCTAACATTGTCCGTCAGCTGTGGCTTCCGAAAGACTTATGTTCTCACTTAGGCTGGTCCACTTTCCTAGTTTTTGAGGGACTGTGTGCTTTAATGTTTAGGAAAAGGTATGTCAACTTCATCTGAAAATTCCCTGCACTCTCCCTTCTCAAGTTCATGCTCACGTAGGTAGTGCCTTTTGCCCATCTTTCCAAAGGACGCTGCCAGGAGGGGTAAGGAATTCAAGCAGCTGAATGTTCAAAGGTTTGTCCTATCAAAATATGCGCAGCCCTTCCGGTGCCAGCTCTCGGGCCAGGCGAACGCGCCTGGGGCCCCGGACCAGCTGCGGAGACGCCCACCTGTTGGGTGGGACAGTGCCTGCCCATCTGTCACCTGGGCACTGTGAGTGGATGAGTTATCTGCTTCTCTTCCGGGCTCTCTCCAGCCCACGCGTGACTGGTTGTTTCATGATGATCATGCTCCTCTCCTGTTTCCCATTTGTAACCAGGAGACTTGCGTGCAGCTGGGAGAGAGAATGTGCTTTGCTCAGGGAACAGGAAACACCCCCTTTCTCTTGCCCCTCCATCCCTGCTCCCATTCTCCCCTCTTCCCAATCTACAAGTGATTGATCTTAAAAAAGTGGAACACCACGAGCCACGACACATGCCCATGAGAGATGGGGCTCATCTCTGCCCGACTCCGCTACCTGCACACTAGCGGGTCTCCCCAAAGGACGCCAGCACTCCCCTAACTGCATCCCCCCGGGAGTGCTCCTGTTCCCCAAGAATTTTGAATTAGGTGTTCAGATGAGAGAGCCGCGCACCCTCATACCAAACGTCTGGATTCCTGGCTCCCTTCACAGAACTCGAGGGTTTGGGAGGCCCCATGCACCTTCGGCACAGCAATGAATGGCTGGAGCCCAGGGTGTTGGCATCTTCCCACAAAAATGCCGCCCACTGCACTCTCCCCGCGGGCCGCGCGCTGCCCGCTCCCTGGATGTCCAGCCTCAGTCCTTTCTGGAGGGACCGAGCCAGTCCCTTCTGTTCTGGGCCCTTCCCTTCCAGGCCCATTTCCCACAGAGCCCTCATCTGGCTGTCCCTCCCATCTGCCCCCCTGGGTAATTTGTCGTGTGGCAAGGGCTCCTCGGTTGTTTTGGATGTGCCCTTCTGGATGGATGGTTCTTTAGGGTTCTCCTTTGGAATTGGAGGAAACCTACGGGTCCCCTCTTCCACCCCCCAGTGCAAGCTTTTCATTGGCAACTCAGGAGCCTTGTGAGCACCCGGCCTGCTGGATGATTTGTGGCGGCTGTCTTAACAAACTGTTGACTTGGGCAGGACTCTCTTTTCCGTAAAACTCAGTCGGCTCCACAGCGTCAGTCCTACGGGTCTCTGCCCTGGACTCTGCCTGCCAGAGGACTGCACTGCCTGACTGGTGGGCAGCTGGGCCACCCATGAAACAGCCACTTCAGCTGCCTCTGCCCAAGTCTGGGGGACATCTGCTCCCATTCTTGGCACCCTCGAGCCACCCAAGGACCTCCACGCTGCTGGCTAGCTACACTCCAATGTGGGCATCACAGCTGCCCTTGCATTTGACAAATAACCACAGCCTTCACCTGGTTATGAAATGAGCAAAAATCTAATTAAGGAAGCTTCCCCCCAAAGCAATAAGAACATTGATTTCCCCCACCCTCTGCCTCTCTCCGCCCCTTTTTGTTCTGGCTGTGCTGATGGGAACACGGATAAATTAATCACGGCCTGGAATGTCGTTCGTGGCCAGGAAAGAACACTAAATCTGCATGTACCTTGTTTGACATCTGAATGCAAATGTTGTCTTTCTGGGTTTTTAAAAAACCCACCCGGTCCAGTTCACCCAAACCCATGTATAATCCTTTTAAATGCTGTGGATTTCGAATAACCACAGTCTGCTGGGCGTTTCACCGGCTGCAGAGCCGGGAGGGGCCGGAGGGAGATTAGCATCTTCTCAATGTCTGGCGTGTGGGATATGATTTTGGTGTACCTCCAACTCCTGATAACACAGGAGCGTGCCACGGCCAGAGTCCCCAGGATGGAAGGATGTTGGCAAGCCTGCCGGTGAGACCAGCGCAGGCGGCCTTTCTGGGACCGTGCATGCACGAAGGTCACTGCAGAGTCACGGCTGTTCGCAGCCGCTGTCCTGGCCCTGGGAACTCAGGCCCGATGCTCAGCCAGAGCGAACGAGCTGCGGCAGGTCTCCCGAGAGGCGTGAACCCGGGGGAGGGTGAGAGGAAGTGTAGTCAAAGAAGAAAGCTCTAGAAAAGCAGATTCCAAACTGCTGTTAAATGCAGAGTTTGTGCACAGTGAAAAAATTTTGATGACAGCCTTGATCTTCAGGCTGAGTCCTTATTTTATTTACTGCCATACTGGGAACTTAGGCCTCTCTCCTTAAAATTTCTCTTGATACGCAAATGTCCCCTCTGATGACTAGCCGGTCTGATTCAGTGTTTACCGAGTTCCTGGGGGGCAGGGGGAAGAGCACCCCACTGAGTGTCTGTCCAAACTGGCCCAGTTTGCAGGGTGGAGCTAAGCTGCCCCCAACCACCCAACCCCCAGTCCAACACTCACCCAACTTCTACCTCCAACCGCCCGCCCCCACTCCCACCCCAACCCTGCCAACAACACTCGGCCGACACTTTCTGGGGGAAGTGTCTCGTCTCCCTGGCTGGGCAGGTTCGACAGCACCAGGGTGTCACCTTGGCCCCACCCCCTGCCCTCTGTGTACCCAGGACCACTCTTCTCTGTTCGTTTCAGAAGCCCCCACCACAGGCCAGCACATGCCAGTGTTTTCCAGGGAACGAATGAGAGGCCCCCGCCGACCCCCTGCCTACTCTAGCCCCTCCGTCCGTCTGTCCTGGAGCAGTCTGCCTCACCTTCCATGTTGGTGAGCGATGACCAGACGGCTCTGCTCACTGTGTGGACAGGCTCTACGAGCTGATTCGTCTCTCTGGTCTCCGTGGTGACCAGCGAGGAGCCCTGTGGCAGAAAGGGACTCAGAGATTCTTTCTTGATTGGAGAGCCGGTCACTCGTCTGTCGTGATTTGGGGGTCCCCCTCTCTGGAGCAGTCGCAGGCATCTAGTGATGCCTGACATGACAGTTTTGGGGAACATTTGCTGAGTGGAATGGAATTCAACAGGGTGCTGGAGCGCGGGCATCGGACCAGAAAGGTGAGGAGAGGCGATATGTGAATGAATGGCAGCATGCAAATGGATGTGCCCTGTGTGAGGGCAGATCCGACTTGTGCCCCTCCGACCCTTCTGCTGGGAACTGTAAGCGGCCCACAGACGCCGCATGTCTGGGTGGGGGGACCGCCTCTGACAAATGCTGTGACCGTCCGGTGCTCTGCTTCTCTTGGGGGCAAAACTGAAACGGGGTGGACCCTGGAGCCCTGTGTGGGGGCCCAGGCTCTGCGGGTGACCAACCGTGGCTCCCTGAACCTCAGCAGGGGCACCTGGACTCTTCGCGTCTGCTTTACACGTTTGTCACTCGGAGTGGGAAGAAGAGCCACTCCATGTGACTCACCGCGCCGGTATCCGGCGGTAAAATCGCTTCTTTAACACCCTTGTGAAATGGCGGTGAATCGAACATGTGAATTTTCCGTTGAAAAGAGCGCTCTGGACAAGACGGCGCAGCAAGGTCACGCTCTGATCCACACTCTGATGCAGCTTTCGGCTCCGCATTCGGAGCCACGACAGGAAAGTGTGACGATAGAAAGCCGAAGAGGGATGGCTTGGCA